GATGTACCAATACTTTTTTCAAGATGTATTTGTCTTTAATCAATATTTAATTTACGCATTAACATACTTAATTTAAGAGTACAACTGATTCACGATATAGAACAGCTACTAGTAGATGTTACTGTATTTCGTTTTAAAAAGGCTACGATACACGATGTTACTAGGTTAAGCAAATATATTACCCAGGGAAATCTATTACCCAGTTGATGAACGTAGGAAAATAATATGACAACACATTCAGAAGGCTGGAAAATTCCCAATAAAAAGAGTTACACTATAATTTACTTGTATGAAAGTGGGGCGCATCTATTTTAGACCAAGTGCTAATAAATCATTAGATTAGTGGTCTATCATGATTCAGTCAAAAGATTCTGGAATATTTCAAGGATAACCACAAACAACGATAATTTGTTTACAACGATAATTTGTTTACTTGATAGGACTATCTGTTTTTATATTTCAATTTCCGATATGATTCCTACTTTCAATGCATAGTTCAATTTTATTAGAATAGGTATTTTATAGTTTTGAGAAACTCTTAGGCCTACTTAAAATTTCGTTCGGTCAAATCAAATATGTAATGTCATAAGCGTACCTGAAAAGTTCTAAGTTAAAGAAGACAATCAGATACTTATTTACCATTAGCACATAAGGTGATACTCATTCAATATAAGGACAACGTCACAATATATATAACAAGTCATCGTAAAAACTACTGAGACAAAATTAATTTGAAATAAAAATAATTATCATGATGAATGAAACTTAATAATAAGGCTTGACAACACAATAACACAAAAGTTTCCTAACTTGGGGAGCAGTTGGGAAGCCAAGTAATCCAGTAATGGATTAAGTAATTTGGTTTTGACTTGAGGGAAACATTGGAGACTGTGCCGTAGTACTTTTAGGATTTAATATCATAGCTTTAGGCCCGCCGCACATTGGAGCTAGGCAAGGAGCAGGTGAGGTGCAGGCTAGGTGCAGGCGGGAGGGAGGACTTTTTCGTGTCACCGCACATTGAAGCGAGGCGGGACAGAGGTTTCCTAGCTTTGGTCCTACTGTCGCTAGTAGAAAAATATTCTTTGGACCTTTACTGATTCTGATTGTGAAATTAATAATTTATTTTGACTCTAATCGCTATCCGAAAAACGTAAAAAATGATTTAGGAAACGTGTTTGCATGAAATAAAGATTAATCCACGGAGTTTTTTACTGAACTGCCAGACCGGCCTTTAAGAGAATATTTTCGTGTGAACACATAATAACAGTTTGATGATGTCCATAACTTGATTGAAAGTAGCATTATTAGAAAGGAATGTAAAGCTCATCAACATATAGTGATCTGAATTAAATGCTCAATTTCTATATCTTTCACTCACAAAACACTAGAAACCCAACGCAGGCGCGAGCGAGGTGCAGGAAAACTGTATTCCAACTACAACGCCGCGGAGGCCTGACAGAGGCTGCGCGCAGCCTCTGCTCAATGTGTGGTGCTCCATTTATGATTTAAATACGTGTATTACAGAATTGCCGCGCCCGCCTGCACCTCGCCTCGCTTCAATGTGCGGCGGGCCTTAAAGAGAATTCTATGTTTCCTTAATATAGATATGTACAGATTGTCACAAAACTCCGGAACTGACTATACATGACCTTCTACAATACATACAAAAATAAATCGAAAATGTTCAGTAATGTTTTTTTTTTCTATTTCAGCTTCGTTTATCCAAAGCCATATTATTTTTTTCACTTAAACCTTTCTATTTACGTAATGGATTAATATATCCAGTTCAAATTTGATATGGAGCTTTACAGGTTGAATGTCTAAATCAACAAAATAATTTATTTTTTCCGAATTTTAGTTTCGAAATGGCGGCCACTTTAAATTTTCAAACTTAAATTACTAAGAAATTGCTGAATTTATAAAAACATTTAAGAACACTTTTATTTAGTGATTTTAATTTCCTGTCCAACTATACCAAGTTCCAAAATATCGAAAAGAAATAGCTTAAATATTATAATTTTTAATTGTAAAATAGGGCACACCTGACTAGCTTAACCCCATTTTACAGCTAAAAATCATAATATTTCAGTCGCTAAATTCGCTATGTAAGCGAACTTTGGACATTCACCATTGGAACCGTTTGACGTGGCATGCATACGAAGTGTGCCCGAACTGATCGGCGGTCAGAGCTGCGGTCTGCGGTTCTTCAACATACAAACTGATCCAGATATGTGGCAGGTAGAAAATGGGGTCGCTTGAAACATCCAGATTGATCCGCGAGGCTTGGGGGATGGCCTCTACTCCCCGTAGCCTACAGGTAGCATTAAACACACTATTCCGTAGCATTTCTATTACTGCCCTTTATAAATTCAAAACGTCAAAAAACTATGAGCTTTCACTTACATACAAGTATGTCATCGGTTAATAATACAACGAAATGTTATTACTCAATTCACGGACCTGCAAATAATCTAAATGCTATGATGTATGGGTGTAATTTAGACACATTACACAGTTGATACTATTTCAGCAATTAAATGCTTTTGGTTTGTAATAGAACAATTTTTGTAAATTATAAAATATGTGTCTGATCATAATATTTACTGTTAAACCCAATTAACCACAACCGAGCAAGGTTCGGTCCCCCGGTACCGACTGCAATTTAAATGGAAGATGTTTCTCATTTTCTAGTAGATTTGGACATAATCTATTTTCCCCGACATCCTGGGGCCAAGACCTTTAATTTGAGCCTCCTTCCATTATTCTGCGAGGTGCCAAACTCTCACAATTTTTATTTTTTTAATCACTTACAGAATTAATAATATAGATAAGTTTGATCAAATCTGTTTTAACTACATTTTAAATGTACAATTTATACAGTTTTCTCCGTAATTATTTTTTTTACATTTCTTTTAAAAGGTTTAAAGAGAAATTGGGAAATGTTATGTTTTCAGGATTAAAAATGAGAAAACCCCTATTTTTACCCCATAACACCCCGTTCCCATTGTCCGATCATGCTGGTTCGCGAGCTCATTCAAGTTTATCCCACCCTACAGCTTCAAGCCAAATTATTTCTTCAAAATCGGACAAAAGCTTCAAGCTATCGCTAAAGTTGTCCAGTAGTTCTAAATTTTCCCCTGGCGTAAACAGTAACTGAATCAACACGCATTCCCTGAGTGGTAATAACAAAACCACCCAACATAGCTCCCAGAAATGTCAGGCCACATAAACATAAAACTACAACAATTCCTTCCAAGGCTACTTCGCAATCCTTCCAAGTATCTTTGAGGGAACTCTATTTTGTATAATTTTACCGCAGTTCAGCTTGAAGCATTTACTACAAACAATGTGTAATCCAAACCACTATATTCGCTTTTAAAATATTGCAATGGCGAATAAACATTTAAGGTGAAAAAAGTATGACTTGAACTATTCACACTACAATAAATAAATACGAACCGTTTTAATCATAATCCAAGATAATCTTATCTAGCAATGTTTACAAGAGCAAATGTTGAAATAGTGCACAATTTTTATTTCAGGACTAGTTTTGCCAACAGTGTCTTTTGGAGGCTTCTGATTGACTATAATGAAGGTTTACTAATCGAAAAATTAGTTATGTTCTTAAAATAAAATTATAAACGCCTCAAATTAAATTTTATAATGTTTTAATTATAAAACTAAACTGTCATAACCTAACCAAACCAACCAAACTTGCTGATAATGAAAAAAATCCTAGGCAAAAAGTTAGTGTCACCGGTGGGATACGAACCCGGTTTCTTCATTTAATAAGCCCGGGTCTCTATCCTCTAAACCACCGAGGCCGATGTCGTCACACCGTATCGTTGCGGTAATGGTGTTCCCTCAGCCAATCAGAAGCCTCCAAATGACACTGATGTCAAAACTAGTCCTTAAATTAAAATTCAGCTGAAATAGTACCAGCGATTTTCTTAATCTTACACGAGGTTTAACTAAGGTTTAAAAAACACAACCTTAAGCTTATTAAAAAAATAAGAGAGATTTGTATGAAAACATCTTCATACATATCGTTTCACCGTGAATTATAAAGAGTAAATATTAAAAAAATTAGTAAGTAAGTAAGTAAAAGTACTGTAGGCCTACAAAGATTTCCAACATCCCAGATCCCAGGAGAAAACGGTAGTAGTGACCGCAGTCGTTGTCGTTCCAATCGGTATCTATTTCGATTTTATAAAAGTGCAGGTGAAAAGACAGTGCCACCAACTTCACGACACGATGCCCGACGGTAAAACAAAACTATCAACCTGTGGCTAAATGGTAATCAAACCAAGCCAGCTTTTTTATAAGCAAACTAGAAAAGAAGAAGAAACTCAACTAACAACTCAAGAAAAAATCGGTATTTACTCAGGGGAGGTATAGAAGAGGCTACGATGACAGCTGTGGGCTTCTTATTAGCTGAGGGAACGCCATTACCGTAACAAAACGGTCGGTAGCCATCGGCCTCAGTGGTCTGCTTAGCGTGCCGGGCTGATATACTGTAGGTCCCGAGTTCGAATCCTGCTGGTAGCATTTACTTATGTCCAAGATTTTTGTATTATCAGCAAGTTTGGTTGGTTTGGTTCGGTTATTACAGTTTAATTTTATTATTAAGTCATTATACAATTTTAATTGAGCAAATTCTAGTTTTATTTAATAAACAGAATTATTTTTCCGATTACTAAACTTTTGTTATATTATTTCTTTATCAGCAAGTTTGGTTAGTTCGGTTAGGTTATGATAGTTTAATTTTATAATTAAAAAATAATAAAATTGAATTTGAGACATTTATAATTTTATTTTATGAACAGAACTATTTTTGCGATTAGTAAACCTTCATTGCCAAAGTGCTCTCTACTACAGCGCTGTTCACGGAGGAATTTTGAACTCAATGCCTCATTCGTACCTCCCCTAAGTCAGACCAGACCCGAAAAAATCTCAGACGAACTCGGATCATCATCATACTGATACTTGTGATTGTCTTATTGTGTATTATTCATTTTAGGTTAGGTTGTTAGAGAGTTTTGAGTTTTCTCACTTTTTTCTAACAAACACAGAACCAAAAGGTCTAGGTCTAAAAGAAACTACAAACGTTAACGTAAGTATTTAACGAGTTTGAAAAATTCTATTTAAATTGGGTACCTAACTTACAGTTCTGCAAAGATTCTACGATGGACTAACTTAGGCCTATCGGATGAAATTTGTATTTGATGTAAATATTGTTAAAACTTTTCTATTTGTTATAGCCTACATGCCTATGCGCATATTCTATGAGTTATTCAAGGAAAGGGCCCTTCGTCACTTTTTAACCTGTAGCGTCTTGGCTAGGTTAACTTTTAAGAGGCCTCCATTTGCAAAATTTGATCTTTATCTGGGTGCAGTTTCTTAACTGGGCTAGGTATGCTATTATCGATTCGATTAGTAAACCTTCATGCGATTTTTTCACCATCAGCAAGTTTGGTCGGTTAGGTTAGGTTATGATAGTTTAATTTTATAATAGATATATTTAAAAATATCGATTAAGTTTATTAATCAATATTTTCAATTCGATAGTTTCAATCGATATTAGCATAGCCCAGTTAAGAAACTGTACCCTAACTCTATAACCAATTAGGCCTACACAATGTAACTCAGCCTAACCTAACTTATCAACTGTTTTTATATAGGCCTAACTTACTAGTTCGAAACTAAAAATCCAAACCTAAGTTAACCCTCCCAGTGTTACTTGACGAAAATTCGGCAAGCACCACACTTTGTATAGTGTTACTTGCCGATTTTTCGACAAGCAGACATCGTTTACGGCGAAGGCTCTATAACTGACTGAATCGGATTGAACTGGATCGAGTTAGGTATCGTTCTTTCCGTTACATTCTATTCTAAGCTGTCTCCAGATGTCTGTCTCTAAGCGCTATTCATTTTAGTTCTGAAAATATTGTAGCAGACAGCTGACGTGCGTGTATTTGTAAACAGCTAGGTTCCCCCGGACCGATGACTGATGTGTTTTATTACGTTTATCATTGTTTTAGTGTTAAAAATCAAAAGTAGTGATATACGTGGTGCATTATAAGAAGATTTAAGTGGTTTTGAAGTGCTGGTTGATGATCCTGAAGAAGTAGGTAGTGATATTGATGTAAATTATCAGCCAGATTCCTAGCTATGGTTAGGCTATGCATTCTTAGCTAAACGCTATGTACTGAAATCAGTTTTTTGCCCATAACTTATTTATTTGCAAATATACTTCCTTATATTATTATATATTTGTAATCCTCATAAAATTTAGAACAAAGTGGCTATTTTCAAATATTTATAGGCCTATAATTTATACAATTTCATTAGGCGCGAACTTATTTTTTTTTGAAAATTTTCGAAATTATATTTTTTTTACCTAAAAAATTTTTTTTTTGAAAAAATGTTCCTTATGTTTTATATATAATATTGAAGCCCATGATTTTCCAAACAAAATGGTATATAGAACATTAGAATTAACATTGTTTTAAGCTTCTCAGATCCGTTTTAATAAAACCTTGCAAATGCGCCAAAAATAGGTGGACATTAAGGCCTAAACTATGGACACTTGGAGGGTTAAACTAAAACAACAGACACCTGTGGCGATTAGGTTTCTCTTGCTCCTTTGGGAAGACTTTCTGTTGTTGCGATTAGGAAGACGTTTCTCTGTTCCGGAGATACTATATATTGATACTGTGGTATCCCTGAACATGTCCTCTATCACGTGAATATACTGGTGCGTGCCTATTGTCTCGTAAGATTTTGCCATCATTAGATTTTAGCGCGAGCGCTTTGTGACTCCTCCCCCAAAGAAGACGCTAAAATTCATTCAAGGGATATGACATCGATAGGCCTAACACGGTCATTAATTGTTGCCTAATTAATTTTTATAAATTGATTAAGTTAACTTACATACAAGCTGTAACGTATACTAACATTTTTATAATTGTTGAGCTAGTTTATGTAGGCAATACTGAATGGGATGAAGTTTCATTTTACTTCATCGATCATGCGTTTTCTATTTTTATATAAAACGTTATTGTATAGAACGCTACCTATATAAGTTAGGTAAACATTTTTCCAAAACGTATTTTCCTAACACAAAGTGGCCTAAATAGGCTACTCGATTGAAATTATTCATGGTTAATTAAGTAAGTTAGCGTTAAGTGATAGTTCATTTGAATTTAGTTAATAACCTACAACACGAGTTTGAGTTTTGTTTAGTAAAAATTATACTACAGTAGGGACGGCGAGAGTCTGCAGTTGGGGGAAGCCAAAAGCAAGACTGTACTAGCGGGACATTGCAACATCACCTGTTTACTTTTTGACACTAATAACTAAACAATATTTTCATATCAGCTGGTATCATTAAATTTTGCAACACCGCACTGTCCTCATTGGCTCCTTCGAAGTCACGTGGTAAATAGGCTCCTCCCTGAACTGCAGACTCTCATGGACCGTACTGTAGGTATATTTTATTGCAACTTTATAGGCCTAGTCAAGTAACGTAATGCATTTTACCTTAAACTCGTCCAGGGTAGCGAGCCCTATACTCCCTTTGAGCCGCTTTTGCATTTCCATCACAGTAACCATACACAAAGATCACTTATGCATATTCCTGATTTGAAAAGGACATCAAGATCACTGCCAAGCCAATAACTTAAGTAAATTACCAAAACCCACTAAAAATTAGAATTTGTAAGTGATACCGTTGTTTATCTTATGATAAGGTAAGATGTAATAAGATGTTAGAAAATTTGTTTAAATTAGGCTATCCTTAAAAGATAATTCTATTTTTGAAAGACATGTTTTTTAGGCGAGGTTTTTATACTGTATTGATCAGCTTGTGGGCTTCACTCACCTTAATTTGTTAATCCAGGACTCGTCAAATGTAACACAACGAAGACACAAACACACATACACGCACATAAAAATCGTCCTTGGATGTCAGTCGTGGTTAGGCGTTCGGCTCGCGTACGCGAGAGAAACAAAGTTTTAATTCCCTGAGGAAGCGGGACGTTATCTTGGTCCCGCGAAACGTCGGAGTAAATTAATCCAAGGACGATTTTTATGTGCGTGTATGTGTGTTTGTGTCTTCGTTGTGTTACATTTGACGAGTCCTGGATTAACAAATTAAGGTGAGTGAAGCCCACAAGCTGATCAATACAGTTTAAAAGATAATGTTTATCAATAGGCCTATCAAATAATCCTGGTTGAAATCAATCTTGATCAAAATAATTTCAGAGCTAGATAGATCAAATCTGTCATAGAGACAAGCACTTGTTTTTATTTTGTCAAATTTTAATTAGGCCTTCACTACTCCCTACGTCGTGGAACTGTTTCCCTCCCTTCCCACAGCATTTTAGGATTGCAGATAATCAAACTCTCACACTCTGCAATGCTAGTACTACCTTTACTACAATGTATCGAGTAATCTTCAGTGTAATCTTTGTTTAATAGTTACAACTCATTGTTTACCCTTTTTCCTTCCTGTATGTTTCTAGTTCTATACCCTTGTAATTGGTTTCATAAACAAGTTTGTATAGTTAAGGTCAATAATTAAATTTATGGCTATCAACTTAATGATAACTTAACTTGTGTTTCTTCAGTTTCAGATTGGTAGATTCTCAGAGAAATTGTGACCAAGCTCAATATTGTTCTGTAGTCAATAATTAAAATGATCTTCTGAGCACTATTATCCCTACATTTCAACAATGAGTGCCTACCAAAGAGTTCGGGTTTGTATTTTTTTAGATTTTATAAAAAAATCACTTATTTTTTTCATTTGTATTTGTAACTTTTTATTACTGTATTTGAAATATCTAAAGTCTAATCAATAAAATTTAAGCTATTCAATATCAACTCATTCAAACCTAAGTTACCGTAAGCTGGCTGATTAAAATTAGCATTTATTTATGAATAGCCTAATAAGAAAAGATCTCATTTTCTTTAGCCTACTCCAGAAAGTCAAAATTCCATTTGTGTGTGTCAAATATTTAAAGAAAAAGCTCCACTAGAGTTGAAGATTTCATGAAAATGTGTTCAGTTATAATTATTATTATCAGGCACTGTCAATAGGCCAGTGTTTCCCAAACTATGGGTCACTTTTGGTGGGTGAAGAAATCAAACATGAATAGGCCTATGTTTTTTTTTTACCCAGCACCAAAAATTGGATGACTGTTTACTATACCTCAGAAAAGTAAGATTCAGAAGATACATGCTTTCGGGACAACCACATGCTCTGGTATGTTGGGCCAGAAATGTACCTAAACCAAGCAAGGAAGAGCCCGAACAGTGATGGCAACAGTAGTGAGCGCTGTTGTCTGTGGTGGCGAAGGGGAAAGAAGAGCGAGAGGGGACAACAAATAGAATTTGCTTTACTGTCGAGTCAAAAAGTATAGATACTCGAGTTTGAGCTTTTGATTGCAACGTAATAAGTAGATTTAGAAAAATAGGTACTTTGGTATTATCCGGAGGCCACCTTCATACAGCGTGCTGCGGTGGTTATTTAGGTTGGGTTATCAAATTATATTTGTAGGACTTTCCAGATTAGTCGATTCCAGATTAGTCTTACCTTAACCCGCCAAATCCTCTCCAAGTAGGCCAAGGCGATGATTTTAAGTGACAAGCAATACCCAGTTTATCGGAAGGTTTCGGAGTGCGTTGGGAAGTCAATTGCAACTGTTGAGATATGGTTAGGGGTGCTGCCAAAACCGGTCCCGGATCGCCGGGGAGAACTCTGCCTGAGAATCAATAGCAGGACAAATTTCACGCACTACTGCGTTTCAGATCAGCTTTGATTATAAGTAAATTTTAATTAATAAAGGCCACTTAGCTAATATGTGACTTGCTGTTCATTTGCACCTTTTTAAGAGCTTTAATTCAAGCTATTATCGTAATTTCTAACTTGTTCCATCTCTGAAATAAAATCCCTTTACATAAACCATCAGAATTGTTTTCAATTGATGACAAATTCTAAAACTTGTACATATGCTTTTTAAGTACCTATATGTCCCAAAAACTATCAAAATTTCATGCGGATTAGATCAGTAGTTTTTTGTTATAAAATGTTTGTTATAAGGTCCCCCGTTGTTAGAAAAGCGCCGAAAAACCTGTACTTTTCATTCAACCCACTGAAAGGCTGAGTTAAAACTGCATAAAAAATTGAAACCAACACACATAAACGCAGAAAAAAATTTGAAAAAAAAATATTATATAACTTGTATTTTTCTAAGTCTACCGGTTATGTTACAATAAAAACTCAAACTCTAGTATCTAGATACTTTTTGACTAGAAAGTAGATACTGTTGACCGGTGCTAGACACCACTAAAGTGTACCATTGAATGTACATGTACGGTATCCTCTATTTCTTACGTCTCTGTGACTACTCATAGAGTTGGGTGAGCAACACAATACCAATTAGCGAGTAGCAAGGGACAGTGCATTCAAGTATAAACGTGACTTACTAGTTCAAAATAAGGGATGTCCAAAATTTTAATTAAATAGGTACTTTGGTTCATTTATTACGAATTTCTGGTGGGCTTCTAGACGGAAATGTCGTTCAAATTTTGTAATTGCTAAAAATGTCTGCAAAATCTTGGTGGTCAATTTGCAAAATCACCACAATCTGCAACTAGCCAAAGTTCATTCTAGTTTTGACGAATTGTAACAACGTAACGTGGGTTTGATCATGATGTCCATACAATCACAATATATGGTTATGGTGTTACCGCGCATGCGGGATACGATCATGACGTCACACTTTTTGAGATAATAACGTTCGTGCTAAGATTACGGTTTAGTCTGGGTTCTTTTTAATAAAAATTGCATAGATGTTTAAAATAAGAAAAAATGTATCAATTATTTCAAAAGTATCACAACAATTTAGCCTAGTTAGATTCTCAAAGTTTTATTTTAAGGGGATTCTCCACTTTGGTGTATTTAACAAACAAATAATATTATAGATATAGAAATAGGCCTATAGGTGGAAAAAGCCATCAGCTTACAACATCTCTTGTCAAATAGGTGGGTCACAAAAAATTACCGGTATCCATGTTGGCTGCCCTTTTTTGTGAAGCTGGGTCGCCTAACCAAAAAGTTTGGGAACCACTGCCATAGACATTTGGCACCCCAGTATTTCATTGATTACTGTTCCATTTTAGTGGACCCTTTATAATTTCAGTAAACGCTACCACGCTACTTATTAATACAGAATAATAACTCTTGGTTGGACTAGAGCTTTGTTAATACGTATAGGAACTAATGCATTTTAAATACAAGATTTTGTACTGTACTCTCTAAGAACTAACTAATTTTTTTTCAGCAATGGAACACATTTGCACAACAGTGGCATCTCTTTGATGCAAAATGGCAGAATCCTTTTATATCGGCACCAGTGTTGGCAAAGTACCTGAAAGGCACTCACAAACCCATCTATCATCCTTTATGTAAGTATCTGTAACACTATAGTCCTCGCCACCCTAACTTGAGGCAGCCCAAGGCCGCACTATATATAGGGCTTGCGGCCTTGGGCTGCCTCAAGTTAGGGTGGCGAGGACTATAGACTTGTAATTTACTAAACTCCAAACACCTCAATCATATCTTCGATTGATACTGTTTATGCTCCAAAATACGTTTTTATATGCTAAAAGGGTAACAGAAACTGGTTTTATTTATGTAGAATGTCCAGACAGTTCAGGATCATGTCAATTAGTATGCTTCTAAATACCGGCACATATGAAGCACTTTTGTTTGTATATGTAGAAAATATTCGATAGGCATCGCTTCAAACATGTACAGCATAAAATGGATTACATTTGTTACCTTATTGGCAGTTACGTAAATAGATCTTCATCTCTTAATTAAATGTTAAGTGTGTCAAGGCTGTTCAACCTAAAAACTAAATCCCTTTTTATTAATGCAGACTGCTCGGCGCCCTACTTGACCGCATACTTTGCCTACCGCTTCAGCCGGCCCTGATTGTATCAAATAAAATTGCTACCACACCAACTACCATGAAACAAATATTTTAATTTTTCAAATGATTGGCACTACAATATTGTTTAAGATAGATACAGAGAAATATATTGAAAAATAGTGCCCGAAAACACTGCTATACCACACATTGCTCATTCCAACGCGGGCCATATAAAACCTCTTGCGTGCCGTAGTTTGGAGACCCTGTGGCATCCTATCGGTATTTTACCTTCTCATTATTTCAAAACAATTGAACTTCCAGCGGATACCGGTGACCATGTTGTGGTAATCAACAGTCGCCACATTGCTCTACCTGGCGAGGAATGGCGCTGGCGCTGTTATTTCCATCACACCGGTTATCCCGGCGGCGCCACTTGGACTTACGCTTGGGAACTACATGAGAAAGATCCCACTATGGTGAGTTTTGAAATGTTGTTAAAACCTCGTGTTTTGCTAGCCTTGTGGTTAGTGGGCTTTGGTATGAGAAGACATAATGTTTTGATGTGTAGGCTATGTTGAGACCATTATGGAGTAGAGCATGGTGTAAGTAGTTTAGTTAACTTATTTACTTGTATATGCTTTATATCAGTGATCATCAAATGTAAATTTATTTTTATTTTTCTAACAACTAGACAAGTTTTTTACGTGTTGATGTATTTTTGGCTTGTTTTACTTTTAAGAGTCCTTGGAGCCTAGACGTTCTAACTCGTAAAATTTTCAAATCCTACAGTTTACTAGATATTTAAATTACAATCACTCTTAATCCCACAGTGTACTAGATATTTAAATTATAATCACTTTGGTGTTTCTGTATGAAAAATATTTTTGGACGATAAATAACTCTTCAGCAGCTGTTTGAAATTATCCAAGATGGCCACTAGTCTCCATGGACTCTTAATGTTTTCCTGTATTTTAAGTTTTTCAGGTAGCTTTAAACAGTTTTCAATTACGAATTCAAGAATAACCGTTTGATGTTTAACCCTCCAAGTGTCCATAGTTTAGGCCTTAATGTTCACCTATTTTTGGCGCATTTGCAAGGTTTTATTAAAACGGATCTGAGAAGCTTAAAACAATGTTAATTCTAATGTTCTATATACCATTTTGTTTGGAAAATCATGGGCTTCAATATTATATATAAAACATAAGGAACATTTTTTCCAAAAAAAAATTTTTAGGTAAAAAAAATATATAATTTCAAAAATTTTCAAAAAAAAATAAGTTCGCGCTCAATAAAATTGTATAAATTATAGGCCTATAAATATTTGAAAATAGCCACTTTGTTCTAAATTTTATGAGGATTACAAATATATAATAATATAAGGAAGTAGATTTGCAAATAAATAAGTTATGGGCAAAAAACAGATTTCAGTACATAGCGTTTAGCTAAGAATGCATAGCTAGGAATCTGGCTGATAATTTACATCAATATCACTACCTACTTCTTCAGGATCATCAACCAGCACTTCAAAACCACTTAAATCTTCTTATAATGCAACACGTATATCACTACTTTTGATTTTTAACACTAAAACAATGATAAACGTAATAAAACACATCAGTCATCGGTCCGAGTAACCTAGCTGTTTACAAATACACGCACGTCAGCTGTCTGCTACAATTACGATCGGCTCAGAGAACGTACAGCGCTGAGACAGACCTCTGGAGAAAGCTTAGAATATTACGGAAAGAACGATACCCAACTCGATCCAGTTCAATCCGATTCAGTCAGTCATAGAGCCTTCGCCGTAAACGATGTCTGCGTGTCGAAAAATCGACAAGTAACACTACACAAAGTGTGCTGCTTGTCGAATTTTCGTCAAGTAACACTGGGAGGGTTAAGATGAGATGGTCACTATTGAATTTTTTTATGTAGAAAGCAATTGATAAAAAATTCTGTTAAAGTTTAAGTACCCACTGTTTAAGACTTCAATGAAAACATTAAAAGTTAAAATCCTTGTACCACTTGTTTTTGTAATTCTTGCTTTTATTAGTACTGCTTTTCTCAGTCGGCCTCCGCATAAAACTTATTGCCTCATGTTGAAAAAAAAAAAAAAAACTGACCACCCATATCGCTAAAAACCAACAATGACAATAATGACTTTACCTGTCATCAAATTTTGTTTGTCTTTTCACTAATGTTTTTAATCAAAAGAGTTTAGGCATCTTGCCCAAATCAATTTGCACGATCAAGCCACGACTACACTTACAAATATGATGTGAGAAAAGTCTTCAAATAATCTTTCAGATATTTCACTAAGCAGTGGTGAACTGAGAATTCATACTGACAACATATTGAAATTTAGTTTTGTGTCTGAAAGCCTGCCAAATGTAACATATTTAATGGATCTCAGCCTATGACTTCTGCCTGATGAAGCAGTCTGTGTATTGCCATGGTTTGAAGAGTACTTTCCCTTCATAACCCAAGTCAGCTCACTGTAGCCAAACATTAGAGATATTTGAATTTTCTACCTTTATATTCTCAAGCAATGAAGGAGGTAATTATGACAGAGAAAACATTCTCTTATATTTCTTCATGATTGTAAATTTTGTTTCAGGTCATGCATAAAGCTGTCTTACGAGCCATTGAAAAAAATTGGAACAGGATTCGAATACTAAAGAGACTACATATATTTCCAGAGAGTGAAATCCCTGAAGATATCAAACAGAATATTTCTAATCAGATCCCAGTACAGAGGCCAGTTCCTCGCTCCTTATTGTCTTATTCTGATGAAGAGATTGCTAAGTTTCCCAAAATTGTTGATTATCCTAAAGATTATGTCGTAGATTGAAGTTAAATTTGTGTTAGACAATGTAAATAACCAACATAATAAAATATAAATATACGTAGTTTGGAAACTAAAAAAGTGTTTTTAATAACCATGAGGTGTGCAGCATATAGGTCTACATATATCTGGCACATCTTTCCAAACCACAAGAATTTTTCATTCATTTATTGATGTCCAATTTTAGTATTTTAGCGAATTTTCCTATAGGGAAGTAGTTATTACCGTAGGTCTCATGGTAAGACCTAGGCCCGGGACCGATTTACTTTTTCATTTTGATGTCCCCAGAGGCCAAAAACACAATTCGTTCAAATTTTTATGTATCTATATATAGATATATATATATATATATACTAGCTGAACCCGGCAGACGTTGTCTTGCCTTTAACTATTTATAATCCCGCGGGCTTTGCCCCGTTTAACTTCTTAATTTTCAAGATGATCTCGTTCGCATGGCTCAATCACGTCCTGGTTGAAGTTTGTTCGCTACGCTCACTCACCTTTAGGTTGGAGCTCGTTCGCTACGCTCACTCACCTTTAGGTTGGAGATCGTTCGCTGCGCTCACTTGCCTTCAGGTTAGCTCGTTCGCTACGCTATGTGTCCATCCGCACGATAACTTGAGTAATTTTTGTCCGATTTTGATAAAATTTGGTTTGAAGGTGTAAGGCGGGATAAACTTGAATGAGTTTGCGAACCAGCATGATCGGACTATGGGAACGGGGTTTTATGGGGTAAAAATATGTTTTTCCCATTTTTTACCATAAAAATACAAAATTTCACAATTTATTTTTAAACCATTTTGTAGAGCCTAAAAAAACAAATAATTTAGAATATTGAAGCGTTATTATGCGCCTAATTGTTACGGAGAAAATTCAAAAAAATTATTAAAATTCCCGTGTTATTCTTATGGAGAATAAGTCCAACTGTTGTAGTTTGCTTGTTTATGAACATATTTTGATCAAATACGTCAATTTCTTACCAAACCGCATTACCTTTTAACATTTTACATTAAAAAAACTTTTTTAGCTTCCTTGTTGCAGCAAACCTAAGTACTCATTAAACTAATTATTTTTAAATAGGGAATAAATGTGATATTTTTAAGGAGACATTTTAGTTTAAAACCAATCAGGCAAATGGAAATTCGCTAAGTCTGCAGGTTTGCTGCGGCGGGGGTATCTTTTCTTTTCTTGTTGTTGGAGAGCACTCTACTCCATAGGTAAAATATAAAAATGTTATAGATAGTTGTAAATTATGGTTTGCTTTTAGCAAACTTCCCTATAGGGAAGTAGCTATTACCGTAGGTCTCTCATGGTAAGACATGGGCCTGGGACCAATTATCTTTTTCATTTTGATGTACCCAGAGTCCAAAAATACTTATGGTTCAAATTTTTATATATTTATGAATACAATTAGGCCTACTTGAGTAATTTTGGTCCGATTTTGATGAAATTTGGCTTGAATGGATAATAAAATAAACTTGAAAGAGTTTGCGAATTAGCATGCTATAGTCATAGTCAAAGATCGTTATTCATAAGTTTACATGGTTGTACATGAATAGTGTCAAATCAATTATAAACTAAGCTAATTCTTAAGTCTAAGATAAAGCTATGTTATTCATTGTGACCCTTGGTTGGAATATATAATTGATAAAATGGAAGAATTACCTTATCCAACCACAGTTGCTAGTATGACAACTAGTTTCATTCCTTAGAACATCTCAGGTCATTGTATGCAACCACATCATCAATGTATTAATACATTGTGGTATGTCAACAGATTCTTTAAAACACTGTCAGAATCACAATAGTAAAAACTATGTTTCTAGGAAAAAGCATTTAGCTTGGATTAGATAAATAAATATAGGATGGAGAGGACACAGCTAACTCACCTGATGAAAGGTTGCAGATGAGTCAAAGAACATTATTTATCTAATAGTAAAAACTAGTCATGTTGATCAAATTATTAAAATTGAATAAAAAGTGATAAAACTGGTTAAAACTGTAAAGGCTGGCCAGCACTCTCTTATCACTGTCACTGACTAAATAAAACTGACTGAATCATGAGGTGTCTTCATCTTCATCTCTCCAGTGCCACCTGTATTTCAGTTTGTTTTGTTCTTCTTATTTGATACTTCTTTGATTTGTAGCTTGTCAATAAATATATGTATCAAATATAATATTTGACTGGAAGGAAGTGTGATCATTTAAATTGTTGAATTGGTCGAGTTTTTTAGCTTTGTAGATGGTGAATTCTTCTTTGACATCAAGCTTAAAACTTTTTGGTAATTCTTCAACTATTTCCATGTTCTTATCAATAGATGTGTAGTTGTGTGATTCTGATATTAAATGTTCGGCATAACTGGATAGCTGATGTTGTGATCTTTTAGGTGTTCTTTAAATCTTTGTTTGAAAGATCTTCCAGTTTGGCCGATGTAGTACTTTGGACAGTCGTCACAGTTAATTCTATAAATGCCTGATTTTTCATAGTTGTTTGTGGCAACAGGCTTGGCGTAGAAAAACTTTTGGAATGTATTGTTTACGGAATATGCGACGGTCGTATTGTTTCTATTAAAACATAACTGACACTCAACAGACATTTTCCTCGATCACATTGAAAATGCACATATATATACTCACAACCAACAATCAAACACTTGCTAAAAGAAGAATGTCAAAGAAGAATTCACCATCTACAAAGCTAAAAAACTCGACCCATTCAACATTTTAAATGATCAGACTTCCTTCCAGTCAAATATTATATTTGATACATATATTTATTGACAAGCTACAAATCAAAGAAGTATCAAATAAGAAGAACAAAACAAACTGAAATACAGGTGGCACTGGAGAGATGAAGATGAAGACACCTCATGATTCAGTCAGTTTTATTTAGTCAGTGACAGTGATAAGAGAGTGCTGGCCAGCCTTTACAGTTTTAACCAGTTTTATCACTTTTTATTCAATTTTAATAATTTGATCAACATGACTAGTTTTTACTACAGTAGAGTCCCGCAAACTCGGCGTAATGTGGACTGGAAGGGTGCCGAGTTTGTGAAATGCCGGGTTATCGGGAACTACAGTTAAAAAGTAAGAACAATTAAATTTTTAAGCATTTTAACTGCCTCTTTTATCTATATTTATATTACAAGTTAGTAGTAAGTCATCAGATATAGTACAACATTGGTACGAGCTGCGAATGATTTGACTTTGAGCTAGCTTGAGTCCATGTTTAACTAGGACTTAAAAATCACTAATTTTGTGAGCCAGGTGATGGCTGAGTTTTCCAGACTGCCGGGTTATCGAGTGCCGAGTTTGCGGGACTCTACTGTATTGTGATTCTGACAGTGATTTAAAGAATCTGTTGACATACCACAATGTATTAATACATTGATGATGTGGTTGCATACAATGACCTGAGATGTTCTAAGGAACGAAACTAGTTGTCATACTAGCAACTGTGGTTGGATAAGGTAATTCTTCCATTTTATCAATAAGATAAAGCCATTTTCAGTTCATCTATAGAGTATAAGGATAGGTCCATCAAATATTCCTTGAGGATATTCCTGTTATAGGTAATAAACTGCAATCTAATTTTCTCATATGAAGACTAATATTTGCGTTCACTTGTGTACTAGCCTTTAAATAAATATTTTAAATACCTAATAAATTCGTTAAACTGTTGATTTTCTTTATAGTTTGATTCTTTATTAGTTTGATTAGTTAGTTAGATTGATTATTAGGTTCTTGCAAAGTGATTTACGTTAGTCATAGTAAACGTAAATAATTCAACAATCTTTTGAACTATTTCAAAAGCCCCCTATAAGTTAATACAGTTTCTTTAATGTGTCATCGCCCTACTTAAAAACTAGCATAGTAGGTTATGAAAAAATATTAGTGACACACAAAGAAAAATCTAGAATGTTTTCCATTCCACTCCAGCTATATTCAGTTCATTTTCAGGCTGTTCGTTCAGGTGTTCGCCACTGATGGAGAGAAAAAGAACGGCGTAATTCGGATTTTGTAGAAGAACTCGGTGAATCGGTTCTTTAATCACCTGAGTTAATCGCATCACTTACTCCATATTCAAATATGCCGTAATATGTATGGGATTGAATACGGAAAATATAAGTCATTTTTAAAACTTCAATACTGCATAGTTTGGACATTTTTAAAATCCCATCGCAAAGAGACCAGAAGTTATTTTATTTAAAACAAGTTTAAAATGTTGGTCCCAAGACAAGTCTTAGGCCTACAAAGACCGAAAGGTAAGACTTTAGGCCTTACCTTTACAGTTCGACAATTAGCTTGTTACTAACACAATCAAATTCCTTAGGATATAAATACAGTACAGTAAAGAAATAATAACTAAAAATGTGATTTTTATTAGTTTAAAAAAGTTAACATTGCTAACTGGTTTGATGGCATGGCATCAAAAACTACAAGAGAACCTGGTAATGCTCGCCATTACATCCAGTACTTGTTCTGATGAAACACTGACATTGCCGTAGTGAACGGTTGAGTTTGCAAAATCAGTTAATCTTTCGTCATTCATCTGTTTCTTATGTAGGTTAAAATTCTTTTCATTGTCAAAAAACCTCAGTCATTGTTAAAAACTTAATTTTAAGATAATTTTGTGGGATGCAGGAGCACCTTCAGCTACGCCCTTGGAAATTTATCTGGGCAATCATTCTTTAGGCCTATTCTAAAGTTATGTGCAAATCGGTTCCGGGCTAAATCCTTGTGTTCAGCAGACTGTTAGTCTATGGTAACAACATTCATTTGTGGTTGTTAAACAAATGAAGTGGATAATAAGAAGGACAACAAATGAAGAAGACACAATAAAAGTTTCAGTTGCTTTATTTGGGTTGTTGCAGCGATACAGAAACCAGTACATACAATACATACCAGATAACCACCTGTACACTGGTACAAGAACAGACTGGAGCTGTCACGATTCTCACCACTGTCGCTTCTAGTCACTAGCGGTGAAGAAATAACACGATAGAAGCTTCTGCAGGAATGTTTACCAGTTATCGTCGAGGTGAGAATTCGAATAACAGCGGTGATAAAACGTCGCATGCATACAACGAATACGTCCAGTTTGGACTACGAGTAACCGTCGGTAGACCCGAGGTAAGCGACGACACCCATGTCTTAGAAACAGGCTAGCGATAACAAATAAATAACTCGTGGTAAAATTACAAAGTTTACAGTTAGGGTTTCTACTTGACTAGAATCATTGAAAAATGTTTCATAAACACTCAAACAAAATTAAACTATACAGATAAATGGTTATTTGACACAGCTTTGATTACATAATATGGTAATATTCGACTTGAAACATCAAATGGCACTTTTTCGAGCTCGGGCATCTTTAACGACTAAATTTTGTCTACATGTCGGGTAGAATTTCAAATTCTAAAGACAACTCTGGTAGTGAATGACAAAGCTGTTCAGGAATGTGTTAAGATAGTAATACTTCAACATGGCTGAGATCTGCAATTCTACTTTTTGTTATTTGCTTACAAAATTCAAAAACATGGTAGGGAGTCTCTGGTTCTATTAAAGCCTAACACTGCGAAGACAATTGAGATGAGAATCACAAAATACTACTGTAAAATTGAAGGTTAAATCTATCAATTTGTTCAAGCTAAACACTGCTTTCAGATGAGACAAAGTTGGAAAATTGCCAAATTAAATACTGAAAGGGCATGGCAAACTCTTGTCTAATTTACAACGATAATTATGTTGCACTTAAGAAACTCACTAAATTATTTATTTAAATTTCAATACTAATATGGTACGGTTATATTTAAGTAAAATTTAAATCCCCTTTATGGTTAGAATAATTTCCGATGTAATTTGTACATAAAAATACAAAGTCTACAACATTTTAGTATAAAATATATCTGATTCTTGTGCTATAATGTAACAAGCTCCATGTGCGTTTCATAACAAAAGTAGGAGATACAGAGGACAGCGGTAACCCTACTGGAACATAATTTTTACCTCACACATAAATTAGTTGAAAGCCGTTGACAAAAATAAATACATTGGCAGATCTAATAAGATTCATTGGTCCAAAACACATATATTTACAATATTAAAATAACATAAACGTAAGCTAATAAATAGCGTAAAACATAACTAACTTTTTACAGGACTTTCTAAGTTCAAATCAACATTGTATTGTCGAAAAACACATTAACATGGAAATTAGGAAAGGAAGAGCAAAACATTTGACCTTTGCAGTCTGTGCTTCTGTGCTTGTTGGCGTGAAGCTAAGAAATCATGACTGGAAAACACGGGAAACTCTACAAAATGCAGAATAGCAGTCTTGATGGCTTTCCATGAGATCGAAGGCAGTTTGACTTTGAAAGCAAACCCTTGATCCTCGCACATTGTAAGAACGTTTTTTATGGCAGTTTTTGAGTAACGAGTGTAATTAAAATGACATAGAATATAACAATGTGGCATCGAACAATGCTTATGTCTAGGGTTTGTAATCTTGTGACATCAATACATCAACCTCACATTACATAATAATTACTAACTTTATTTATTATATAGCGATTTATCAATTAGCACTGTTCAAATATTAGTTTAATGACGGCTACTTACTGATGCTTGTATTATATACAAAGTTCTAAAGAACAATAATACTCTGATATCGAACCATCTCGACCGTGGAATTTCACACTAACTCTAATAATTGTAGAACGGTTTAATACAAACGTGAACCACATCGATACAGGGTGTTTCTAAAATCTTATCAGACATAATAGTAATACAGTATATCATACAATATCTACAACTCGTATAACTGGCACGTCGTTAGGATCTAGGTACCGACCACTATACTAACGAAAATAAGCCGATATATTTAAACACTTACGGTACGTATCGGAATAAAATACCAAGGAATAAAAATTTAATAGGCAATGTTAAAAATGTAAGAATCGTATAAAGCCGACTCGTACGCATAATTTAATGTACGATAATCGTTAAAGAATAATAGAATGTAAACATACACGATAAGATGAGTTTTCTATTTATAAGTATATTGCAGTTATACACTCGTGTGGTTTAACGATACAAACGATTTTTCGATTGATTATCGATTTATGTCAAAGTTTTCAGAAACATCCTTTAAACATACAAATCAAGAATAGCGATTGAAAATTTTAACTATGAAAGTACACAACGAGTCTTGGAAAACAATAATCATAAATGCATTTCACTTTGCTTCAAACAAATCTACAAGTTGAAAATCTCACCCCCGCATCAATATGATGCGGCATCCATGGTCAACTCCGGTCAAAATGCTAAAAGTTCGATAGTGTTACAAATGATAAAAACTTTCCGAAGATTTGGATAAAATCTAACAACACTAGCGAAGGCCAGGCTATGTCAAACACTAAATCCAAGAAAGGTCGAGCACTAGACAATAAAAAAATAATTTCTATAATTTTGGTCATCCAGAAAATTTGAATTTCAAACCCGGTTCTCGTTTCCTACCGTCGCTATCACAACTTCTGCTAGGACCACACTCGGCCAGTGATGTACATTTCTTGGCCATTAGTATTTGTCTAGTCAATGTTTAGTAAAGGCCACAGCCTCGTAGATTATTGGCTATGATGACGTCGGTAACTGCATCAAACACAAACTGAATGTTGTTGGTGTCCGTGGCACATGTCATATGACAGTAGATCTCTTTGGTTGTGGATTTGTTTTTGGCCTCAAACTGCGCCTGGATGTAAGCGGCTGCTTCCCCGTACTCTTGTGCTCCTGTAAACATACATATTGATATAGGCACAAGTCTATAGCCATTATGCATTCAAATTAATATTTAAGGGAATTAATGAGAAAATCCTAACTTCCTTGTCATTTATTTAGATACAAAGATTAGCTGGAGTGGCCATGTGGACAGTATCTGTACGAAGCTCTCTCGAGTCATCCATCTACTCCGCAGACTTAAACCCCTGTTGACGAGGCAATACCTGACCACCGTCTATCACGGCTTGTTTCATTCCCACCTCTCCTATGGACTCCTGCTTTGGGGACACGCTGCAAGGTGTGAAGATATTCTTCTCCTTCAAAAGAAGGCGGTTCGGATTATTGCATCAAAGAGTGCACTTTTAAAAAGAAAGTTAAAGCCTGGCTAGTCGACCGACCACTGTACTCAGTTGACGAGTAATTTGATGCGTTCCATCGAGTATAGGCTCAACGCCATCTTGCCAAAAGTATTGTAAATAGTGTAAATATTATTTTTAGTTAATGACACAGTCTATCCAGAAATTCTGGTCAACGACGTCGCAGCAGGTATTAAGGTATTAAGGTATTCCACACTAAATCTATAAACTAGTACAACAGCTGGAGGCACCTTCGATGTAAGATAACTGAACAATTTTTCTGTAGGCCAGCTTTAAAATCTTGCCATTTAGGCCTACCTTTGTCGTAATGCTGTGACCCAGCAGTTCTAAACCCACCCTAAGCCATAAAAAGGGATATGTCTCATAGGAGGGAGAACTTACTCTGAATTTCAACACTTGACAGTCCAATGTCATTTTTAACTATGACCATATTTTTTTTAACTATGACAGTTTTGCAAAGCTCAAGTTATTTTGTTCTATACTCGGTTTACAAAATTTAGACGGTTTAAGGGGAAGTTCCCCCACCACCTTTTTTTGCTTAAAAATCTATTTGACTTAATCTGTTAAGCTGTTTCATTTTTATGGTATAGCCTCATGTTGGAAGGCAAATACATTGGTGTACTATTCCCGTCATATTCTGACGTCACTCAGTTTGCAAAGAAAACCTGATTGTAACTATAAAATTAGCATGTATTTGTTTTGATTTCATTGTTATTGTTTTTATAATGTTTTCAAAATAGTTGAATGTGTTCATTATGAAAACAATAACAACCAAATAGCCGTATAGCCTCTGGATTTTTATAACAAAAGGCTTAAATTACCTGTATCCGTCAAGTGATCCTAGATTGTAGTTGGTTACTTACAGCTGTTTCGTGTTCTTATAAACACATCTTCAGGACAAACATAGCATTGATGTATCCATGGAATGGACGACATGAGGTTTAAAGTTTTACAAATAACTTTTATGGATATATCGATGCTATGTTTGACCTAAAGATGTGTTTATAAGAACACGAAACAGCTGTAAGTAACCAACTACAATCTAGGATCACTTGACGGATACAGGTAATTTAAACCTGTTGTTTTTTAGCTGTTATTAAAGGTAATGGTCAAGTGGAGGTGATATAGATTTATTCCCTTAACACAGCCTAAATTTTGTGAATGGAGTATAGCACAAAAACTACAAAAACTAAAAACCACCTTATTCTCAGTATATATTTGGTTGAAAATTATTTATCTTCCAATTGTATAATTTGTATGTTCAAATGACAATGAGAAATTACCATTAGCATAGACTAACCAACAAGTAGACTTCTCATCCCATTGTAAATTTTGAAACATGTTTTTCGTGTCTAGTTTATGTCCGTGACACTGATCGCTAGTGTCAACAATTTTTTTTTTCTATTATTTTTGAGTTAATTTCAAAATTTGTGCCTTACTGTTTGGTTAAACTGTATAAGTTGGGGATGATTTATTTGGTGAAATGAGGTTTTAAATGACTGAAATAACAAAAAGAATTGGCTTCAGCTGTTCCACAAGGACAAGAAATCTACTAAGGGTATGTTTTATCTATGCCATTTAGATATTATTACCAACTGAGAAGGGGATGCCACCTATGTGCCTATTTTAACCAAATATGAGTAAAGAATAAAGTAAGTTGCCTTGTGTAGCTTTGTTACTAACCAAGACTAGTCAGGATAATTTATTGAAAGCCCAATGATCAAGTACAGCCGGGTCCAGTTTCGAGGCATAACAAAACTAGTGACTTTTCTCAGGATCGAACTTGCGACCTTTTGATTACTGTACTAGGTGAGCACTGTAACCACTTAGCTACCCCAGCTATTCTAGATAATTTTGATCAGCACAAACCTGCATATTCTGGAAAGCATATTGTAAGTGGAGACTTTTTGATTTTCTCCTCAAACAAATCCTTCTTGTTTAGGAAGAGAATTATGGAAGTGTCCGTAAACCACTTGTTGTTGCATATGGAATCAAACAGCTTCAAACTCTCCTGCATACGGTTCTGCAAACATAAAACAAGAGGTTGTTACACGACCATACAAAAATTCTAATTTAGAATAGACATGCAAGTCGCAACAGCAAAACATCAGTAATTTAAAAAAAGGCAACTTAAATTAATGAACTAATAATTCATTAATTTTCAAAAACATTGTAGAGTATGTTATAACACAGATGTATAACACAGTATGTAAAGATTATGACGCAGAGAAGTGAGGTATATGCTTGTAGGACAACCGTGCGGTTTATAATAAATATACTTAAAGACAAAATTTGTTGATTGACGTAACATTTTTCCCAGTTAAATTTTACGCACAGTTATAGTTGGTGAAATGACATAGCCTAACTCTTATACCAATATAGGAGATTCTGAAGTTTCATTATTTTGTAAGAATGAACCTTATAACATAAGTATCGATCTAATCTAATCATGAGTTACATTTCAATGACAATAACATGCAAACTTGCAACCACCATGTTTCATTGTGAAATCGTGAAAGCTAAGCAAGTAATTTAAAAAAAAAAACAATAAATCAATCAGCAATTAAAGAAAAGGACTGTGATCTTCTAACCTCAAATGGCGGCGTCATCGTGATTTTTGATTCGATAACAAGACAAAGTGTGAGTTTTATCCGTAATTTTACAGTGTAATGTGGTTTTGTTATAGTGTTGTGTATTAGGTGTAATATTTTGGCATTATTTCGCAAAAATATTTACACATAATAACATTACAATTTATTGGCATATAAATTTAATTTAATTAATTACATACACTATTATTTGATCCAAAATAGGATATGAAGTCAGTGAAGTTGTTTCACTGACACGTTCAACTTCACAACACGTGTTATTTTTATTTTGTGGCCTATAACAGTTGTTTTGTTTTGTTTACATTGTTGCTCATGTGAAAACAAACTATTCAATTATTTATCTTATTTAGTAATTGTTTTTTTAGAATATAGGCCTATTATTGGCTTTAAAAATATGGTATTATGATTTTGATTATTATTAGAGGACATCTTTGGATCTATCAAAGTGTAATTGTAAAAATTTACGTTTTCCAATTTTTCCACATTATAGCTAGTAAATCTACAAACGTTTTTATTTTGTGTAGGCCTAAAGATAATCTAAGTAGAGAAATAAATTCTGCACTATTTGAATATTTTGAATTGTGCATGACAAATTTACGTTACAAGTGACAAGTTTTGCTTTTTAAATAAAATTATAAAAATATATATATTTGACTTTTTCCTAAAAATTCACCCTTACAAAAGTGATTTGTTTTATGTTTTCAAATTCTCCTAACTATTACCATTGACTATTGGATACAGAAACTATTACGAACAAAATGAATATAAGTTACTAACTATCTACTGTTCAATAACTGTCTACAATCACAAAAAATCATTTTTTCATAATTTATTTAACTTTAGTCAAATAATGTTCAAATTAAAAGAAGAACCATTTGGATTTCAGCATTGTATTATTGTCTAACCAACTTTTTTTTTAATGGACGAGCTAGGTTTGAATTTTGTTAAGACTGGCTGAGCTGCCCAGAAGATATAATAACAAACAAAACAAAAGGGAAGTAAAATATAAATTATGTAATATAAAAAAAATAAGTTGGCTAGTTAAATTGTTCAATAGGCTAGCTTTCATTTGACGAAAAAATTGGAAGTAGTTTTCTTAGTGACTTCTTCGAACAACAAATGAATCTTAGCGAATTTAATTTTTCATCCCCAAGTTTTGAGAACTGCGTTGCGTAACGTCGCGTCGTCTGCTACGCGAACATAACCTCAGCAACGCTGGCGGGCTGGCGCTGGCGGCAATGGGTGTGTTCACGTGGTTCGCGGCCGCGCCGACAGGTAGCAGCACCGGTGTCGCAGTAACGCCCGTCGCCATGGCAACGCCGCGATCGATAGCCCGACCAGCGCGCCAATTCCCGACTAGGATGAGTGAAACGCGGGTATCGATTTCGAAATCTCAACACTAGCACTTGACACTGTCCGTTATCACGGAAATACAAACAGTGGAGATAGCTGTTGTGTTAACCCCGGTCTTGCTAATGGAAAATATATTATGATTTTAGTAAAACGAAATGCTATATAGGCTAAAATAAAACTGAAAAATTATAACAGCAGTTAGAAAGTTAATTTCATCCCCTCACTGCAAATTAACTCATAGCTTGTTCTTTTAGACGTTACATAGGGCTAGGGCTGAAATGTTAATGGAATTTTTATTCGGTTTAATAGCATGAAAATAAATAAATAGATACAACCTTTGACTATTAATACAACAACATACAACTTTATTTGCAAATTAATTAAATTGAGTATTTAGATAGCCTTACTGTAGGCCTATTAGCGAATTTCCTTATAGGAGCCTGGGACCGATATGCTTTTTCGTTTTGATGTCCCTTGAGGCCAAAAACTCTATTCAAATTTGTATATATGTATAGATAAATATGTGTCCACACGCTAACTCTTGAGTATTTTTTGTCTGATTTTGATGAAATTTTGCTTCAAGATGAGTTCGCGAACCAGCATGATCTGACTATGGGAACGGAGATTTACAGGGGTTTTATGGTGTAAAAATTGTTTGTTTTTTTAATTTTTACCCTCAAAATACAAAATTTCCAAATTTCTCTCAAGACCTTTTAAAAGAGCTTAAAGAAACAGATAGTTTAGTATTTCAAATTGTTTTCGTACGGTTATTTATTTTTTTTTTTTTTTTTTTTTTTTTTTGTCCTAGGGCGCTAGGCACGAGCCTGGGATTGTTTTTCACATTACTTCAGGCTAGACCTAGGGGTTGCGGCATTATCACTTAGATAAATCCATTGGTGACTTGGCGGGGATCGAACCCGGGACCTCAGGGACTGAAGTCCCGCGCTCTAACCACTACGCCAGCTCGCTCCCCCTTCGTACGGTTATTGGAAACAGAGAAAATTAAAAAAATTATAAATTTAATATTCCCATGTTATTCTTATGGAGAATGTTGTAAAATGTTATAGTTTGCTTGTTTATGGATATATTTTGAACAAACTTAGCAAATTTATTCATCTTATACTAAGCTATTTTTATATTTTACTAAAAAACACATTTTATTATAGACATCCCAGAAACAAAAAGACGCTGGGCCTTTTCGCGCCGCGCTTGTTTGAAGGGTACGCCACACCCATTGGCGTGAACTTTTCATTTCTACGCAGGTCGTTTTGTTCTTGGTACGTCTATAGATTCCTTGCACCAGCAAACCTAGGTACTCGCTTAAACTAATTTTATTTAAATTTAGTTAAAAACTAATTCAGGCAAATGGAAATTTACTTAGTTATGGTAGTGTGCGAACTAGTTTGAATAAACATAGGTTTACTTATTTATACCAAGTTTCATCAAAATTGGTTCACTTTTACTCAGAGTTATCTACCTGACAGAAATATAAAGTCTGAATTTGAACAGAAGGTTGTTTTGCCCTCTGGGGACATCAAAACAAAAAAGTAAATCAGTCCCGGGTCCAGGTCTTACCATGAGACCTGCCTTATCAGTTTATTCCATGGATGGACAATTCCTCAACATTGATGACTTAATGATTACTTAGGGGCCAATTTGTTCTTAAATTTGAAATTCTATGATCTAAAGTAATTTGCCAAATTGAATAAATGTGTAAATGGAATTAAATTAATTTTGGAATAGATTTTAGAATAATTCTATTGATGGTTAATTTGTAGAGTGAATGTTTAAACAGTTTATAAATATACATGTCAAAAACAAATTAATACAATATCTAAGTATTCTGTATCTTTGTACAATATAATTTGAGTTTGCACAAATGGAACTATCAAGCAATTTGAGGTAAGATGAAAATGACAGGACAAGAATAATTGTCGTACAGAGAATAAGCACTTGAGCTTTGTACTGCTTCAAACTTGACATGAGGACTTGCGACCTACGAGGTCAATGAACTTTAACGTCACTGTAACTATAGGTTAAATAAGTAATTTTTTATGAGATTGTTTCATAGGTGTATAAAGTAGAAATGCTTTTACTATCCAGTGAAAGGTAAAAAGAACTTTTTTCTGGTCTAAAAAAGTGTTTACAAATGTAAGTTTAATGTTTAAAATTTGCCCGCTCAAAAAAAAAGTTTTAGGTAGTACAGTTTGAATTAATAGTTTTGACAATATTGTTTTTTTTTTTTTTTTTTTAGTCTAACATCTAAAAACTTTTGTTTCATGTGTGTACAATTTCTTAATAATTTACAAAAATACTTAAATGTGAAGTTTAATTACTCTAAAAAATAATTTACTAATTATTTGGCTATAAAGCTTTACATTAACACATACAGTTGACAATTATTTAGATATAGTTTTAATCAAAAGCAATATATGATTCAGGGGACTTTTTTTATTTGCAATTTATGATTTTGTAATTGGGTTGCAAGCAAAGTTGATTTTTCAAAATAGTTAATCAGGTTTAAAATGGTGAAGTGCATACATTTGAGGATATCTAGGTTCAATATTTTAGATGTATATACAACAACTTGATGTATTCATTTTGGTATATTTCTAGGACAAAAATGAAATATTACTGTGACATCTTTATTTACATCTCTATTAACTCTAGTTTGGTCATCTGGCAACTTTAGATTCTTGGGTTTTTTCGTTTTGTTGAGTCTACTGTTTTATATTATTTTGTATTAGTATAGTTTTAAAAATTATGGAGAGCGAAAAGACTGATTGAAAAAAAATCACTGTATGGTGCCAAAAATTTAATTGCTGTAGACAAGCTATTAATGGCTTTTGAATTTGTTAAATTAACAAATAAAAATCATCTCTGTTATATTTGGATTAAAATCCTTCAAGTTAAATGTATACTAATAATTCAACAATGTTCTCAGCTAGAGTTTTTACAGTGGTGCTTACTGTGAATGGCAATATAAGGTCAAAAGGTTGTGGTCCATTTTGGAGGAGAACCGGCAGAATATAAATCAGTTGTAAGCTGTACAATAAATAATAAACGCAGTGGAGCTGTTGTTGTACTCTGTAATAATGCAGTACCACCAGTGTAACATAACAATGTAATACAGTAGGTTCAGCACTATTTATCACAGCTGATTTTCTTTTATCTCCTTAGAGATTCTATTCCTTTTCTTTTATCATAATAAATAAATATGCCTTTTTCAAGGATGTTATGTAAAAAAATAAAAATTGTATTTCTTTTGTTTACCTTTGAACTTGTAACAATACAAAAGACAAAGAATGAAAACACTTAACTAGTTAGTAATGGAACATGAAACAGTAAATAATTCAGTTTATTTTCCATTTATTTGACATTTTTCTATGATTCAATAACAATTTGAAAAAAAATACAAATAAGCTATTGAAACACCCAAACCCATATTGAAACACCAATTTTAATAAAGTTTAAAGCTAAAAATGGTGGGTACATAAATCATTTGTTGGCGTTAACTTTTTCCTTTTTGTAGATTGATTTATAAATTAATTATTTAACACAATGGTAATTTTTTAGACTTCTAAATCTAGTATTGCTGGTAATAGTTTGTAGAAATTTTAATTACATTTCCTAAATCTTGTTTTTAAAATATAGCAATATAGGTACTAAAATTGGTTAAATTGTTTGATAAGTTTTATTATTAAATGATCGGAGGGGCATCTTGCATATAATTACCAACTATTAACCGCCATTAAACAATTTTACAATAATGATTTATGCTATGGGTGACTAAGACTCTAATATTTGAACACTTGGATCACCGGAAACGCCAAGGGAGAAACTCCATAATAGAGCCTTTAACAATAGGAAGGCAGGTGATAGGACCCCACGGAACACGTTTTCAACCCTCTTTAAGAAAACACCTTCCTTCAATGAGTTGTCCAACACTAAGTGAATTCAAACATATCAAATATTGATTAGATTTGATCAACAATTTTGATATTTCGCAAAGATTGGTGGGATCAAACAGAAATTGTAAAGGATGAATTAAAAAAATCTTATTAATATTTTTATCACAATTTATATAAAAAAAAAAAAACATTAGTCATATGTAATATAACCATTAGGTAATAAGGGGATTGTTATCCACAAAATTCAATGTTTACCTTAAACTTTTACACTTGGCATTCATTGAGATTTAAATATAAAATTTAATTTTGGCCTGCTACATTTTCAAAATAATTGAAATCATTTTGTGATTGTCAAAAGTTACATGTCCTCTCATTACATAAAAATGCTAAATTCATAGCGGTTACTTAACACATTATTATCATCTTTGACTTTTGCCAATATCAGATTCAGAGCTGCAAATGGCGGCGAATGGCAGTTACAGTGTAAAAATAAGCCGATTGTTTATCGGACCATCAGGCTGGCAACACTGGCAGCCTACATTGGTAAACAGGTGAGACAACCCCACACAAAATATTTCATGGAGAATTGAAAGACAATTTGTTGAGACTCCTAATTTAATATAATCCATAAGAAATAATTAATTTAAAATAAATTTATAACACAAAAGTAAGGACATTTAGTCTTTTTATAGACAGCCATAATCCCCTTGGATTAGTTTGTTAGCTAAAAAAGATTTTAAATGCACAGTTAAATGAAATAATTGTAATTGGTTTCTTAGTACATATAAATTATCCATCAAAATCATGCATAAGAAGGTTAATGAATGCTCAACTAGGATTCGATGTAAACTTGGTAGCATTTGTTGTGTCCTTTTGCTGGTGGTTATAGCTTGGTTGTTATGGCTTACATCAAAACAAAAAAATGTTTTGAAAGAGTGAAGCTGCAAAAATATTTTTTTATAAAATGAGAAATAAAGGAAAAGTGTAGCAATGTACTGCATTTGTCACTTCTAATATCTCTGTATCCAATATGCGTAGGATGAAAATTATAGATTGTTTTGAGTGTATGTGGACCCTACAACAACTATCTATTTTTTTACCACGGATTAGTTACAAGAGATACAGTTTCTTCCCTATAGACAATTTTTTTTTAATAGTAATGTTCAAGGAGTATAGTATTGCAAATAACATTTCCGACTATAGATTTTAACACTAGTAGAACAAGATGTATAAGAACGACAAAGCTATGAGAGAAAATGAGTGATATATCTCGGGTTTTACGCAAGAGTAATTCTGTACCTCTTATTATTCGTGCACAAAAGATGGAGTTGGTTTAAAGCTTAAATCAGACGCATATCTGTGACTATGCAGAAAAAGGGATTTCTCAATATAAAATATTAACTGTAGAATCACACAGCCCATTTTAACCAAACTACTAAATAGTAAAGACACTTTTTGATTGGAGAAGTGAAAAACTAGGTATTTAAAATTTAATTATATTTTATAAGGATTTAGACAATAGACAATATTTCTTTTACATAATTCATAGAGAATAGTAATGTGTCAACAAATTTTTGATGGTTAAATTAAAACTATTTACAACATTGTAGGGTTGAGGGGAAGATCCACTGGTGCTGTTTTTTTTTTCAGGAATTCGGCTTCTGTATAAAATGTTCTGTCCTGTAGCCATGATGTGGATTAGTTCTTGAAGTGTGGCAGTGGTAGTGTCTTGAGCTGCTCAGGTAGATGATTGCAATAAAAAGCTCCTTCGTACGCTGGTTTCCTTTCAAATAGGCTGAGATGATGTGGTGGCAAGGCAAAGTTTGAGGCATGCCTTGTGTTGAATTGGCGTATGTTCTGGTGTCTTGTTTGTTGTGAGCTTATTGCATGCAGGATTGTTTCACGTATGTAGAGTGATATTACAGTGACGATTTTGAATTGTTTGAAGTGTTTTTGGCAGCTTTCCTGATATTGTATGCCTGCCAGGCATCTGATCGCTCTTTTCTGTTGTTTGAGGACCCTTTCTATGTTTGTGTTGGCTGTTCTTCCCCATGTAGTTATGGCATACCTCAGGTGTAATTAAAAAAGGGCAAAGTAAGCTACTTTAGCCACGTCCAGGCCACTTACTTGCTTCATTCTGCGAATCACGTAGATACCTGAAGAAAGCTTCATGCAAAGTTGATCTACATGTGGTTTCCAAGTTAGTTTTGAATCAATCATAACACCTAGGTGCTTCGTTATTTATTTTAATTCTACTTGAGACAGCGGTAATAGTCGTGTGTTCTTGTTTTTGGTCGTGAAAGCCATTTGTACTGTTTTTGTTTCATTTAGGACTAGATAATTTTCTGAGCAGTAATGTTTAGTTTGGTTGAAATAGGTGATTGTGTTTCTTTCTAGCATTACTGCTTGTTCATCAGTAATTGTGAGGACTGTATTGTCTGCATACATGACTGTATGACAGTCGCTTTGAAGCCAGTAAAAGAGATTTAGAGACTAAAACAAGAATATATTATTTTTTTGAAGTTCATTTTTTTTATGGTGAGTTTACATATAACACATTGAAGAGTCTATAATTTTTTTTTTCAATACAACGACTGTGGTTGATCTTTTTATTTATCTTTTTCAACTACAGTAGAACCTTGATAACAAGACTCTCACAGGGATCATAAAAAAAGACTTGTTATCAAGGTTGACTTCTTATCCAGGTTTGCAATAACATGTGATTAGGGATAAAATAATTTCAAGGGGATTTGAAAATGACCCTTGTTATCGAGGGTCTTCTTATCGAGGTTCTACTGTAACACATTTTTTCTAGACTTACTACTACTGTGTGACTACTGTGTTAGAATTAAGTAAATTGCTATTGTTGCTGGAGACACCACAACTTGATGTTACTATCATTTTAATATTTACCTCAGTTTTGGAATGAGTTTGATAAAAGCCATAAGAAGTTTTCTAAGTAAGAGTAACACTGTTCAAGCAATCAACAGTCCCAAAACGTAGTTGTAAAATTTTACTTACCGTGGTTTCGTCTTCATGAAGCACTTGGTCATACTCTGACATAGCTACACAGAAAATAATCGCCGTGACATCTTCAAAACAGTGAATCCATTTCTTTCGTTCTGATCTTTGGCCACCAACATCAAATAACCTGAAAAAAAAGATTTTATTAAGATACTGTATCACCAATTTGGCTTTAGGCTATGATATTCAGTGCATAAAATTTAAACTAAAAGCCTATATTTTGTAAATCGTTTTTATGCAACTGAGCAATGATTGTTTGTAAACGAGGCAAGTAAGAACGTAATCCAATTTCAATGGATAGGTCATAGCATGAAACCACCTAGAACAAATACAAAATTTTGTAAATTTCCTACTTTTCTCATCTAAAGGAATCCGCAGAAGCTATCAAGCTTTAAAAATAATTCCACAAAACAAAAGAATTTGTTTACAATACTGTTATTATACATGCCAATAATTTTATCGACCATTTCTAAAACAATTATGGAATACTGTTCTTGGCAGTAAATAAAGATAGTCTGTGGATGTTTTTTCAAAGAAAGGGTAGGAAATGTCAGTTTCTGATACCCTTTATCACATTATTAGTAGAATCCCCAAACCATTCAAACAAATTGATCCAGAGGGTGTGGCTGACATTAAATTAACTGAAAATCATGATCAAAGACTGCTGCACTTCCAGTCATATTATTTCCATAGGGTGTAATAATAACAGTCAACAGTGTAATTATTATTACTATTGATTAATATAATGTTACATATTACAACACCTGAATCAACCAAACCTGTCCAAACCTTGCAGTATTTCTTCACTACAAACCATTTAACAAAATGTTACACAATAGCTAATTAATTGACTGATTAATTAATCAACTATAATTGTTTGATCCAATATGTAATCTCGCCTAGGCAGATATGATGACCTCTATTTGGTGGCCTCCTCCGATTACACCCAAAGACAAAAGAGAAGACTTAACGAGCCAAGTACAAAGCCGGGAAAGAGCCCTTCTCCCATTCATCTTGCAAAATCAATGAATCCCATCCTGACTTTGAATAACCTCTTCGCTCCATAAAAACATTCACAGCAGCAGCTCATCTCAACTGGGGTGTCTTATAGTGGTTGATTTACGATTAAATATAGAAATAAAGGAGTATTTATACTTATAAGGGATTTTAATGCATTATTGAATTGAATGTTTTAAGTATTTAGGATTTGTTATTTGTAATGGTATCCATACCAATTTTAGAGTTACTGCATATACGTAAGTAATCTTTCATGAACGGATGAATTAAAGAACTGTATAGTCAACGTTTTAGTTTCATTCTTCTTAATGCAGGTTTAAACATAATTCAGAAAAATATGCGACAATCGGTTTACACAGGTATCGTACTTTATATTAGCTATATACATAAAAGATTACTGACTAATACTAATAAGTTTAGAGTAGGGAGTTTCCCAATATAGTGAAATTTTGCCTGAGAAACCTATCATTTTATTGTTCTAGATAAGTGAACCTGTTGCTTAAGGTGACCCAACCCTCTGAACTATCAGGTCAAGGTTTCATAAAAGGACATTTAAAATTCAACTACAGTAGGCCTATGGTCTGAATTCCAAAGGTTCAACTCAATAAACTGAATGATAATTTCATAATCATTCAAAAATTTAACATATCTCTACGGAAACACAGTTTAAAATTAAAAGTATAATATGCAATTTTCATCAATATTTCCTTGCAACAGTTTGAGAGTTCAGAAATACTTACTTAAAATTAAGGTTTTTGAAGGAAAAGTGAACTTCTACGATGCCAGTGGTCTTGACCCTTGTCCGTAGAATGTCTTGTTCGGTGGGCTGGTAGTCTTTGGCTCCTAGACGGTCTAAGTCGTCGAGGAAACTGAAAAAAGACAAATTATTAGTAGTGAAGCAAAAGATAAGTACAAATTAAGAAGGAGATAATTCAAAACACAAACTACAAAGGGGGAGGGGGCGAAATTTAGATTTTTTGCAAAATAATATGTTAAAGTTGAAAAGTTTTACATTACGCCGTTCAATTTCTTTTAGGTTGTATCAAGACTTTTTTAACACCCTGTATATAGCCGAATTCTGTAAAGAGTTGCTTCGTCGGATTAATTAAAAGGGGCGATTTATTGAAATGCTTCATGGAAAATCATATAGAAAACCATGGAAAATATTCAAATAACCATCAAGTAAAAATTAGGGATTTATCAAACTGCAATCATTGATTAACTTGAGAACATTGAAAATCTTCTAAAAGGACACATTTGTCAAAATACAATATTGAAAATGTATTCCATCACAATCTGTATCAGCCAGACATTAAGGTTTCTTTTCTTTAAACTAGTGACACGTTGTTTTCTTTACGTATATCAAACGTACTAAATGTTGAGCACATATGACGTAGACGTTCAACAGTGTAACGTCAACATGACAACATATGGGGAGTTGGTAGCAGCTGTCACAGCTGGTCCAAACATGACAACCCGCCTAGAATAGTTTTACGGCAAGGGACAAGCGTGTCTTTTGCTGACGTCAACTGAACGTAAAGGGAACGCAGTGTTTTGCTGTCGTAGACCACTGAAGTAGACTTCTCATCCTTTTTTCTTTTCATTGAAACTTGTTTTAATATTTAATGGTAAATTTTAAAACGTGGGCTTTATTGTATGGTTATACCTATGAGTACCGTACTATAGTTCGGCCGCTTAGAAAGCGACCTCATCCAGCATTGGTTTAGCATTAGCGCGCAGGTCGTTTTCTAAGCGGCCGAACTATAGTAACATTTTCCACATGAACTAACATTAATTTTTAACATTAATTAACATGTTAATGTTTCCGTGGTGTTTGCCGGCGATGCAAACGAGCTGAGAAAAAAGGTTTTAAAGAAACATGCTTGCCTATTAATATGTAGATACAAGCACTGTAAACAATAGGTAAATACAACAGCTGTTTCATAAGTAAGGAATAATACACAAACAATACAGGTTTCGCTAACTTTGAAACAAATACGATCAAACATAACTCAGTTACTCGTCCTCGAGTATAATAAAGCAACGAGTATCGAAATCGTTTAAAAACTACCAAGAACATTTTCTAAATAATTTACAGCAGTCGACAAATAATACAGCAATCGCTCCACACCGAAATCTGGCAGGAAATCGATCTGACCACAAAGAAGGAGGAACTTTTTAATATTTCATAGCGTGACGACTTATTCAATACGACTTGTGCTCGAGTCATTGATAAAGTTCTATGACTTCAACAAGTTGTAACCATAACGCTACAATCCAACTTTGTTGGGTTTGTCACGAAAAATATGGAACTTTTGAACAGTTGGATTGTTCAAGTTTAAAACTGGTTTGTTGTATAAAACAAGAGTTAAAGTTCTTCTAAGATAAGCAAACTGCACAACAGTTTTTCTCCACAATAATAACATACAAATTTTAAATGCACTATTTTTTTGGGATTTTTCCCGTAACCTTCAACTGTACAACAACGCTTCATCATAGGCCTACACATTGATTTGTTTTTACTTAACTTTTGACAATTGTGTATTTATTGCTGTGTTTAAGTTCAAGGTCGGGTTCAACCAGAACCGTGGGTTCACCAGATGACATTAGCAAGCAAACACAGGAAAAATACCGATACAAAGGATAAGCATGTAATGTCCATCTTTACTTATGAAACTTGTTATAGATGTTGATAGTTCTGAACGAAACTGATAAGTTAATTGATGAAATAGTTGTATTTTGTATTATATATATAAACATTTGTTTATTTATTGCTCTATTAAAAAACATAGAACGTGATCGCTCCGCTCAACTGGCTTTCACTGCTATGAAAGCAATCATAGTAGGCTATCAGTTTTCTTTAGCCAGGACAAAATAATGATGATACAAACCCCGACAATAAAAAAAACAGCTGGGTTAAGATTCTAACCATCAAAATATACTGACTTCTCAAGATCGAACAGAATCAAAATTAATGTTCCTTATCGTACCTATTTAGCAATAATATGATTCTTTGTATCGTGTCACCAACGGTACGACCACAGAGATTTCCGTATCACCTAACAAATCTCAGCCTACTACACTTTCTCAATTTAGTGGTATTTACTTGTTTGGACACAAACTCTGTCCTTACCAAGAATGAATATTTCTGTCCAATTGACGATGTGTCTCTAATTGAAAGACAACCGCCGAGCAGAAAACGTTTACAAGGTGTCGTGAAAATCGGGAACGTTGAAATAGGAGAAATTTATCTAATTATTCTTTCAGTAAACGTGCATTGAGCTATTGGTAGAGTTCCTTATGGATTAGAAAAATGTTATTTTAGGTTAGTTTTATCCTACATGTAGGTGTTTTTTAATAGTTTTAGTACTTTTGTTTCTTGTTATTTAGCAAGATTTAAACCATGCTAACTTTAACAGGACAACATGTGTACACGACTACTCGCCCTCTCTTCTTATTACCAAAGAGTAAGCACAAATTATAACATTTACCCTAAAATTAAAAATAAACACTTAGTCAACATCAGCGAACTCAAGCGTCAAACTTTCCGGTTTTGTTGGCATGACTGCCAGGACATTTGGCCTTATCTATATTATTATAAAATTTAGGTGGTGTCTGTCTGTCTGGGCAGCTATCACGACTAAAATACTAAACCGATACAGCCAAAATTAAGCACGAAAATGGTCCACATATCTAGGAATGTCATAGGCCTATTCACTTCCCTGAGTTCCTACCGGGCTACGCCTCTTGAATGTCCAAAGTTTTGAGGTGAGGTTTTAAAAAGTAAATATTGATTGGTTTCCATAGAAGCATGAGAAAATTCACAATGTTTACCTTTGCGTTGACATTTGAATGTAAACAATCAGAACTGACAAATGCTCATTTCACAATTTCAGACAGCTGATCCTTTCTAAATCTATTTCAATGATTATGAAGCTAATTTTTCTTCCCGTTGCGAAGTACGGGTCCAGCAGCTATTGCAGATAAACACATACTATAAAATATATTTGGAGATATTAGCAAGGAAGCCTATGGGTTCCGATCCCGTCACTTCTGTAACAAATTTGGGGTTTGAACTACTTCGTAATTATTTATACAAAATGTCGTAGACAAAAACGTAAATGTCAAGTTTTGTTCGTTATTCAAGGTTTACCACGGCGCCCGTATTAAATAAATGTAATCGGTTAACTGGTGAAAACCTGTCATCCAGGCAAGGGTATGCGGGTGGTGCCGAGCAAGGCATTGTCCGTAATATAGTATTGAGACTGTAAATCTGTGTAAAGTATATTTTGTGAAAAATTTAGAATAGATTAGCTTTACAATAACTCGTTAGTCGATACTGTCATGTCCAAACTATGTTATCTTAAGATTATACACTACTCTATTACATCATATTTTGCATATCATACCCAGACAATTTCAATTTATAAAGTAAAATCCATACGGTATGCGTATATCTTAGTTTAGAATATAAATTCCACTGTATAAATTGCCATATCCCGGTAGCATGACACCAACCATGTGACCCAACAGACAATGCCGCCATAGAGTATTGAAAGGCACGTACACATCATGAATATATATATCACAGACTACTACGCAGCATCTGTTTATTCTATGGAAACCTACGCAGCCTTGGTCTGCCTATTATTATGTGATTGGTTTCTAAATGTTTAATGCAACCGTTAGGACAGGTAAGTAGGATAGTGTACGTAGACTTCTTGTCGTATTTTAACATCTGACACGTTTTTACGTGTGTTTTTCCCCGCGTTATGGGTCTATATATTGTACCAGCGAAGGTTCCTTAGGTTTTTATTATTTTATGACAGATATTAAAGAGATTCTTTGGTTTTGATAAAAAAAAAACGGGCGGTTAACTAGTGAGTATACAATTACTTGTTAATAAATGCTGTACATCTCATTTGGGCATAATTTTATATATGTGGCAGTATACAAATTATGAAATACCAGCCTTTGCTATATTTTATTTATTTATACACACCAACTGCAGAACCATTCAAAAAGGATCAACAAAACAGTTACACAGTAGGCCTTACTAACTAACAACAAATGGCACCTCGATGCCTCTGGAAGCAATTGCGTTGAACTACCATCGATGTGGGGAAATACAGCCAGAGTCAACATAACGTGTTGTATGTACTAAATAAAATCTAAAATTAGCGTTTAATGAAATTGTCGGAGGCGTCCATATCAATTGATATTCATACCGGCCTAGGTAGGCCTACCACAACGGATGCGTATATTTACACGTCATGCACCATGCACGTATAACATGGCATGTGTAAAACGCAAAAGAGTTCAAGTCGATTTTCGATAATTACATCCAATCTATATTGACCACCTGCGGACACAAAGTGTGCCCTATTAAATTGAGTTTTGTATCCTTTTACGGCAGGTTACAACATAAAAGAATTAAAATTAAATCACCCTTTCGGATTGACATAGTTGGTCGAATTTGTAAGAACACATTAATTTACAGTTAACACTTTAACTGGCTAAATTGAACCAAATTATTATTTCTATTCTTATATTTGCTACAAATTTTAACATGGATGTAGAATGTTCATATCACGGCAGTGAATCTACTATGCAAAATTATTACCGATGTTATTTTTTAGGGCCCGGAACTAATATAATAATGTAACTTTTCGTTTATTATAAGACATTTAAGTATTTTTATCAAACATTTACCCTACTTATAAATGGGATACTAAAGTTTCTATTCGTATGGATGATGTTTTTAAATAATATTATGAAGGATTATAAAGAATGATAAAAAGGAGGAAATGCGTTATTAATTCAAACTATTTTACAAAGCTAGTTTATGGATAAAAATATGGTGTAGATGGTTGTAGGTTGGTATATCAAGAAGAGAATAATATATAAGCCTGACAGGTTATCAGGTTACCCCCTATAAAAACTCTACGATTAACAAATAACAAAAATCGAACTTTACAGTATCGTTCAACAAATGTTAATATTCCCTTGTATTGTCTGTTTACGCATTCAAATCTCAACTCAAAATTTGAACTCCCAACTAAAACTATGCAGTAATGCACTTTTGAAATCAAACTCTCAAAATTCGGTGTAAACCAAATGGTAACAAATAAAAAGTAGTTCCACGGTCGCCGCTACGCAGGGTCGGCACCACCATCGTATCGATCGGTCCCTGTGCGGCGACGAAACACAGGTGGCGGTGGCTGTGACGCCTATGATTGTTCGATTGATAAGAGACATGATAAAAGCTGTTTATGGACTATTTCTGTTAAATGCGATCACACACACGACAACCGGTAATGAACAACTCAAAGAGTGTGGTATAATGGTGTTCTCCCTTATTTGGTCTTCACTGAGATAGCTGACGCGATGTAAAAAGATTAAGGTGAAAAAGATTAAGTTTTCCTTTAATTTTAGATTGATTGAAAGGTTGGCATATTTATTATAAATCGGAAATTTACATCAGCGCAGTCTGTCGATACCTCTATTAGTTTAGGTTCATATTTATTCTAAAAATGGATAACTTTTACATGGGAATAAAATGTCTAGTTATCCATGAACTTGATTAAGAATTAATTAACAAGGTTTACCAATCTGCGTTGATACATACAGTAGTCTCAATCACCGTTGCCGTTGAAAATGGAACAGTTGGTACCAATTAACATTTTTAAAATCCAAAATAATAACAACTGTTCGAAACATGTTCAATAATAGTCAATCAGCTGATTAAGATTTCATTGTCGTAATTAACAATATGTTCATCACATAAAATCAAACTAATCTTGGTGCACATCATACAAATAAGTATACAAGGTGTTGGTATATTGTAAGCAACATTGCACAGAGTAATGAAGCAATAAAGTTACTCTATGTACAACCGGAAGTAGCAAACGCACTTGATCGTGATGCATGACCACACCGGAAGTGACGTGCTTGAAGGAAGTGCTGTCTAGATCGCCAATACCACACTGATAGGCTAGGTCAAGACAGTAAGCAATGTTTTAACAATATAGTGTTTTGTTGCAGTTTTACTTAATGTTTTAAAGAATCTGAAACGCGTGTAAATTTATATTCAATGATATTCTAGGCCAAACAATTAGCATAGCGATAAAAAAGTTCTCAGGTAAAAGGGTGCGTTGTCTGAAAATTTGATACCTTTTGCCTTAGGGCCGAAGGTTAAATTTGTTGATGAGTTTTAAATTTGTCCTATGCTTGTATTGTGAAAATGTTGCCTGAGTAAAAAAAACCAGACTATAAATATGTACAGTATATCTTTTAAAAACAATCCCAGTTGGCTAGTAGAACTAGAACATCCTTTTTATGAGATCAAAGAGTATTATGATGTAAGAGTTTTAATATTTTAATAATGTATCTAGTATTTTCCACTTAGCCTGTAGTTGAGGCACAGACAATATAATACTCTAATGTTTACTCCATTGTCTGTGGTTGAGGTCTATTTTGTCAATGTTTGCCTTTTAAATGTCTGTAATATTAGCCTATTAGCTTTTATCAAAGGCGTACTGGGACAGTAGGCCTTTGTTACCATACGATTTTTACATTGCACGATTTTTAATGCGACGATGAAGGATTTTATTTTAAAGGAATACATTTTCAACAATGTATTAGAGGGCAATACACAATACACACAAGGTGTGATATCGGCAATAACAATACATGATAAGGAGGTATTGACAGTCGACATCGTTGTACAAACGACGTCATCAACGACAACGAGCGCATGTCTCGAGGTTAATGATCTCTGTGCTTGGCGTTCACAGCAGTGTTCAACTGTTGAACAATGACTAAATACAGTATCTCAGACGTGTGGAAATAAGGAACTCAAGGTCTATACAGTACCTTGGATACGTGGTTTAAGTCCGAATCAACATTTGAACAGTGTCTAAAATCCCACACATTAAAAAACTCTCGAATACGATCACAATAAAAGCATCAGGATATAAAACTAATAAGAACCACGAGCTTTCGAGAAAACCGCAAGTCACAAACCTTTCAACCGCATGCTTGAATGAAAGGTTGAAGTGGCACGAACCTTAGTTAAAATATTGAAGATGAGCGAGCTTTCACATTTTTGTTATTTATAACTGTTTACTGTTTCCTGAATTAAAACCTTTGATTATCATTATAGATGTTTACATTACGATTATGTTATTAGTTTTGAATCTGTTACACAGTTAAGTGCAAATACACAAGAGAGAGTTTTTATTAAAATAAGCAATAATTACGATTGACATTTGCCTGTATAATTTGCTTGGAAAGTGTAGGTTTCCCTACCACTACATGGAAATGATCACATTGACCTGTAGCAGTACGCAAGGCTCATTGCCACTCTAGAGCGAAAATGGATCATTCCCGCTCGCTAATCAACTAATTTCACAGTGGCGTTTCGTTACCAATCACAGCCGCGATAAGCAAATAACACAACCTCAAAAGCAAGCATAACCTAAATGACATTTTATTTATACATCTAAAAAAGTTCATCTATGTATTATTGTAAGTTAATTTTGGTGGTAGAAAAAGTCTTGTGTGTATTACGAGTACAAATAGTCATGTTTGCACAAATAGACCCACATTTGGTCTCAAGTGATTGTTGCCCACATTATTCTTCTAAGTATATTCTTGCCCCGTTGCAAAGCACGGACAGAACAACTAGTTTAATGCAATTTTTGTATCAAAATGTTCGGGGTTTAAATAGTTTATACCCTTTCAACACTTTTTTTTGGAACAGGAACTTAGTATCGTTGGCCAGGCGAAAAATATATTTATATTCAAGTACACCAATGACCGGTATCCAGCTAATAGCTATTCTAGCCTTAAACTCGTTATTGACTTGGTTAAAATGCATTTTGGAAACCATTATTAAAGGCAAATGTATTTGTTTTCTACATAAAGAATCCAAAAAATGTGATCTGGTTTTAAACATTGGTTTGGATTATATGTGCGAACATCCACAAGAAACCCCGAATAATAAAAACCATTCCAAAACCTATATGGCCTATATGACACAAATACATACGCTGTACAGGAAAGTGAGCCAGAGACCTTGTTCTATCAACAACAAGCTAGTTAGCAACATAACGACGCGCTTATCATAAACACGAATAATTGAAGCTTTCCCCAACTAGGCGCTGCGCTGGGTGTTTACCGATCGTAAAATATAATTTAATCGCAAACTATAACATTACAAACTAGTCTCAGGCCGATCAGGCTTTATTTGGTCCTGGATGAAAACGGTTTTTGATTTGGTTGCTAATGATAGCTAGAGGTAAAAAGTAGTTGAAAATTATAGTATAATACTACCGCTAACATTTCGGTCTTGACCTAAATAATTTCACTGCAAATCTGTAGAGAGAATAATAAACTAAAAAGGATTGAAAATGCAGGACTACTATAATAACGGAGTTGCGAAACAGGTAAGAATTAGATATTTTTTGTTCGTTCCGTGGTTTACAAGAGAAGCCAGAAAAGACATTGTGCGAGTTTACCACAAGAGTTGATTCTTGGTCTACACATTATCAGGGATGGGTTGCGAATCTTCCACGATAATGAACCAAAAGTTGGGTTGAAAGTTAAAAGCAAACGTCGTTTTTAGAGGACTCTCTTTTGACTCTGGTGTCAAAATTGTAGATTTCTGTCTCACACCAAATGTGTAACCCAACCAAGTAAGGGCAACTATTTGTGAACTTACACGTATTTTACGTCACGTTAACTATCAAGTCGAAAACTAAGATAGAACAAATATCATTTTAAAGAATGCCTCTATGAGCTTTGAACTTTGTACATCCGGTTCTCTTATAAAATTTACTTAGGAATTCTGAAGAAGACAAATGGAACAGTCGCAAACTTATTTTATCAAAAAAGAACATAGTTTAATGAAATGCTCACAGAAAGCAGTCTATTGTTATCTGTGACTAGTGGCACAGAAAACATACTACTGTATGTTATCTGTGCTAGTGGGCGAAGTGGCACTTTGCTGCACACGAGAGAAATGTTTACGCACAAGCCGTAGGCGAGCACATTCGAACATTTAAGAACAAGCTCCGTCATTACACAAGTACGTCATAACTCCGTTGCAGTTTCAGTTTGGCTATTTGGCTAGGTCAAAGGGACAATAGTTTACACCAGCGCTATCTGTCGGTAGCTCAATTCAACTAATTTTAGTTTTACCTCTAACTGACAACAACATGGGTATGAAATAATAGAATGTCTAGTTCTAGACATTGCCAGACGTCTACCCTGCTATCCAAAAGTCAAAGTCAATGGATCAATCTTCCTATAAAAGGGGAAATGGCAAATCAGACGTAAAGAACAAAGTGTATTGATCATTGATGGGAAGTACGATTGGAGATAGGAGGCGAAGGAGCCACAATCTGATTGGAAGGTAAAAACTTCCGCCCTGCCTCACCCATTAGCAACACTTCCGCAAACGGTTGATAAATTTCCCCCGCGTAGGGGTGTTTTACAGCAAAACATCGCTTTCCCTCCCTCAAGGAGATTGCGGCGTTTCTCCCACCTCTATAGTATTGTCTTGAAAACGGATTCTACTTTCAATTCAGGTATGCGATTATTCGGAAGAAACCCGATCGACTGATAGAGGAATCATTCACAAAATCGAAATTTTTAGAAGGCTATATCGGGATTGGCACGTTCACTTGGCAACCTGTCATGGTTTGACCTAACACATCTAAAAAAATATCATAGGTAAAAACTATTTTATTTAATTATGTAACAAAGTAGCCTTATGCTGTTCTGAAACTCCATGTATCGTCAATATACTTGATACAATAAGGTTTTGCTACTCACTATTTGGCAGAGTCGTTGAGCTGGTACTCGTTGGAGCGGCCGAAGCACTCCTGGACACCGACGTCGGCCCAGAGTCTCTTCATCGCCGCCAGAAGCTCCTCAGAGAACGGCTCCGTGTCTTCCATCCTCTGGATCACGTCAAACACCATCTTGGCGTCCGTCTGCAACAACAGGAAACATGGTAAGTTAACACAAACAGGATTGTGCATTTAATTCAACAGTGGATTCAACAAATTATAATTATTGCAGTTCAGTTTTTCTTGAGGTTAAGAACACGACCAGGAAAACATTCCATACGAGAACGTACTGGACAACATATCAAAATGCTCTTGATACCAGTTGAGTTCAGGTTTGTTGAAGTTGGGCACGATCAGTTGTAAGGAAGGTTAGGAAAAGGATGAGAACGTACTGGACAATTTTAAGACAGCTAGGGTGCAGAGAGAATGAGGCGATTGGGTTTTCAAAGAATTCAAAAAGGCTTACAACACCTGATGGGTTTAAATCCTGTCAAGCATAAAAACAAAAAATGTTGAGACCAAAAACACTAGGTAAGATACTATTTATCAATTCAGATACAGGTATCAAGGTTATTCGAAACATTTAACTGACAATTTAGAAGTTCCATAGACACCGTTAACTCGCTGGTTCGAATATATAATATTTTATAATATATACATGTATCTCCAGGAATATTTATACTAAGTTCTAAACTAAAATAGTTATGGTGTTTTACTTTGTCCAAGCTACAAAACTGTCTACACTATCACAGTTGGTTTACAATGCTGTCCAAGCCTACATAGTCTGAAGTGGAGAAATTAGACAAGTGTTAAATTGTCTGCAGGTTACAAGGTCAAATGACGGTTCATTAGAGGGGTTTGACAATTATTGTTTCATTTCAGTGTTAGTGTTTGGAATGCGGAAAATGCTCATTAGTTTTGTGTTTTCAAAGTTCCGAACTTTGCAATGGCAAAACAAAACACGGGTTGTAGAAGATCCTCGCACTTACTGTAAACAATTTACTTTGATTATGGGAGATATTAAGTTTCAAGTTTAAAGACGATATAACAGTAGTAGTTTGGTGTGGAAAAATCAGGTTTAAATTGCTTTGGTTACCATTGAGTGATTACACGTAGTAATAAATTATCCATATATAAATCCCAAAGTACCCATGAACTTTTGAGAAAACTAAAAGAACACACCTAGTGATGTGGGCCGGGTAAATACCCAGTGGGTAGGTAAATATAAATTGGGTTTTTACCAGGGTATTTAACCCAGGCCCGGGTAAATACCCAAAAACTGGGTATTTATAATTGTTATTAAAGTTAGAGAATATTGAGATGTTTTTTGCAACTATTACCCTGTAAGGATAGTAAAATGACGATTAAATGTGTTAAACAAAATTTCATATGGTCACTATTAGCATTTTACTTCTGGGTATAATCACCATAAATATCCAGGACTGAGCATAAAGCATAATCGGCATAAAAACCTTGGTCGCATGGTTGCACTGGTCTTTACTATGCCTACTTATGTTTTTTTTAATTTCTATGATAAATAGATGAATTTATTTTATTAAAAGTGAAAAAATAATAATTTGCAAAGTAATAATTATTATTTAGAAAGACGGGAAAATTTAACATAGTAGTAGCCTATGTGTAAACAACTTAAGAAAATAATTAAAATTCAATCTGTAGGATGGCAGGATTTAATAATATTTTTGTTCTAGATCTTTTGTTAGTATCAATGGTATCAAAATAATATCAAAACTAATTTCATAAACTTGTGATACAAAACATTTGAATCTATAGGCCTAGCACAATAAAATCTTTCAAAATTATATTAAATTAGACCACAAAACAGGAGATACATTTTTTAGTAGGTTTATCCAAATATATTATTGTTTCCAACCAAGCGGTAACACAGAAAAATTTAATTACTTTTAGTATTCTGCAATTCTGCCTATGTCAATCAGGCCTTACGTCTGTCTAGCCTTCCAAGCCAGTTATACAATAAAAATTTTGCATCATAAATACCCAACAATTCCTGGATATTTATAAATTAAAATAATTTTGTTTATGTTATTAAATTAGTTATAAATTTATAAAATGATAAAAACTGAAATAGCCACAGCCTTTTTTAATATAGGCTACTATTTTTTAGTAAGTTAAATTTAACTGATGTTACTTGATTTAAGACGCGAAACCCCATGCTCATTTAGAAACTTTATGTATTATTTAAAAAATTGCTAAATCATTAAACAAAAGGTAATAGCAAAGCTTCAAGTTACTGTTAAAGGAGTTATATACTATCCTAATTTATCATGTAATGATAACAATAACATATTTAGGGGCGAATATAAATGAATTTTAATAGATTTCATAAATACTTAAAATACCCGGGTATTTATGGATTTTGGGTATTTACCCGGGTAAATACCCAGGGTATTTACCCCGAGATTTAAATACCTGGGTATTTTACATCACTAAACACACCCCCATGAACCATTTACTTAAAATGTTCGTCATGACAAGAAACCTTGCGAAAAACTATCCATTCTTTCATAAATTGCCCTTTAAGGTCGTAATTCCTTTCTAAAGGGAACTTTCCATATACCTGTTGCACTTATTTGTTTGTTATTCTTTTAATTTATTACCTTAAAAAAATATTAAAATCAGGCGTGATTATTTGTCTGTATTCCTGTATTCTGTTTTGCTTATTTCAGCTTTACTTTACCAATCAATAGTTTAATTAAAACTTATGAAGTCAAACGGGGTGAAGCCGTGGGTAACAGCTAGTTACTCTTCGTCTTACGTCCAATTGTTTTTAGTTGCTGATTACCATTTTTCACAATCATTTCATAAAATTAATTGGTAATTTTAACATAGCCTACATATTAAATTTGGTAATGTTAACAATCCGGAGGCATGTCCGTCATAAATAGGTTTGGTTTGAAACCAAGCAGTGTCTACGACACTTTCTTTCAGTTAAATGTACAATATATTTTTAAAATAAATAACAAATTCTCGGGTAAACGTTGTAATAAGTCAATTAGGCTATTTACCCTACATTTTGTCATAAGTCCATTATACTTGTTAAGGTTCTGTTAGGTTGGATTTTTTTGGATTTTATTGTTTAAACATTTCATTTTGTTTACTAACATTGATTATTGTTGTTAATAACCAACATCTATAATACTTCAGTTTACAAGAAGTTGGACAAACAAAATGATAACCACGTTTTTCTAGAGGTGTCAGTATTTATTTATTTTGTTTACATAACCATTATAGTCAAGACGAAATCATCTTAAAGAAAAATATTGTGTTATTAAGGTTTTAGATAAGCAAATCGACGATGATGTTTCGACTCCGAAATCGATAATAGTAAATATATCAACTGACTTCCAAAAACTAAATTATTTCCATACACAAATGAGCAACTTCTAACTAGCAAAATTACAAAATGACGACTGAATTAATGTGCGACACACACGTGACAGTAGAAACTGATGGAGACGCTGAAAGAAGCTCTCTGTGATGGATGCCAGAGGCAACTCTCATTCGCTGCTTTACACTGCTGGCAACCTAGACACCATTGCCAGATACATTGTAGCGCCCTTTGTAGCATCAGGGATGGATTTAACATTTAAATTTACAACACCAATTACACGACGAGATAACAGTTTGAATATCCATGAAGAATACAGACGAATGCAGTGGCGATTGCCATTTCAAAACATAAATTTTATGCTACAATTTATGGTCCCAGCCTTTTTTAAATTCAAATTTACAAGACCAAATTTTAACACGAAATATTTGAGCAATTGAACATTCATGGTGAAGAAGAATAGGGACGGAGGCAGAAGCAATTTGACAATTTCAAAACATACACCTTTAGATGATCATGGAAGAACGAATAAGCTATTCTATTTTTTTCTTGAATATTAATTTGAAGAGTATTTCGAAAGTAGCATGATAAAACTAGAAAATCCCAAATCAAACAAGAAAAAAAGATTGCTTCTACTGTATCGCAATAGTAATAGTCGATCAATTAGTCACGTGTGTCCTTGGGTGCGTATTTTATAAACTGAATATGCCTGTCAAGTGAATGTAGAATGGATTGTATTCTCAGTGTAGCCGGTGTAGCTTTGTTACTGATCAACAATAAGTCTTTCTTTAGCCATGATCGTTTATTCACAGCCCAATAATTAAGGACAGCTGGGCCTAGTTTATAATAATCGAGAGCTACTGGTCTTTCTTAGGTCGAACCTCTTTGCACACAACTCCTTTCATCTCATGCATATACACAATACACATACACAAATTACATCTTACTAGACGACGGCGCTTTTCACACTGCAGCTACTAACTGCATGACTCATTATCCATTTCCTGTCTGATTCATTCAGAGGTTGAAATAGAAATAGGACTTGTAGTGATGCTAATAATAAAGTAGGACATGTTGGATGTTTGTCTGTCAACGCATTATAACGGACATTTCCAGGAGGCCAAGGCTTCATGGATATTTCAGGTCACATTTCCATGGTGTATTCTGAGCGGTGTTGGAAGATATTTTTAACCCAAATATTATTACTTCTTCGACTGTTCACAACTTGGAAGAAGCTGGAAATTAATACGTAGGGTTCATTTTAAATATATAAAATGACACACGAATGTACTGCATGTAATACCTCAAATTGAATTTTTGAATATAGGCCTATTACGTAATCTTCTTTTTCGTTTTCATATTTTTTTTTAGTCTGATGGGATCACTATACTTAGTTTATTATGCAATTTTCGAATTCACAACGTGCGTATTTTCAGTCAAACTCAGTTTCAAGCTTCAAAATCTGATCTTTTTTAATTTGTAACAGATTGACTACAGTTATGGCAGAGTAAGATATAATAATAACTTTCATAAATCCGACACTTTTCGTCTTAAAGACATAACTCACAAAATCGACGCCTTCAAATTCCAAAAACGACCAAATGTTTTACTCTATGGCCTGCAGTAAAGAATGATTCTCACTGGAAATCTACAAATGACATCACTGACCGACTGGCTGGCAACAAGAATCTCCCATGGAAGAATACTTTCATTCTAACTAAAAAACATGTATTGTCGGTCTCTAAAAACATTTACTTCGCGTCTTCAAGAGATTGTG